AATATTTGGATGGATCGATGTATGGATGTTTCTTAGGTACTACCTCCAGAACAGCTCAACGGATCTACATAAAGTATGGCGTGGATATAGAACACATATTCTACTAATTATGTTTTATTTATTTTATTCTGTGCGGGCGGAGACGTGGGTGACAGCTAGTATGGAATAAACCGAAAAATTACTCTCGAGAAAAACTCTATAAAATACATTATATATTCCTTCCATATTTAAATTAATTATATTATAATACGAGTATACTAATGATGGAAAGGAATATTTCTTTAAAACAAATTATATTGCTTCATTTAACAACACACGATTGACCTTGCGTGGGGTTATTATTACAGCTTAAATCGATATTTGTACATTAACTATGTAAGAATAATACGAAGTTTCAATGTCATGTATTCATTATTAACTTAATAAAGGATAAAAACATTTATAAAATATATTATGTACTATGTATAATATGCGGCGAGATGATGATCACATAAACAAAAAAATAGTGAGATTGAATGTGGGTTACAAAGGTAGAGGAAGACTAAGGAAAGTATGGATAGATTGTGTGAAAAGGGATATGATTAAGTAGGGAATGGATTAGATATGACGACTGATAGAGATGTTTGGATGAGTAGTACACACTGTGCCGACCCTCCGTAGCGACAAGGGCAGGTTAACGATGATGGTGTATAATTTACATACATGTATAAATTTGTTATTACATTTTCGGAAAAAGTAGAGATTCAATTCGTTTATATCAATGGTTACTTTACCTATTGTTATTTTTCTTTAAAACGTTATCGACATACTGTGAAAAAAATGTTTGAAACAAATTACAACTAACGAAAATATATTTTAGCATGTTTATCTAAAAGGAATGAAAAGAATCTGCAAATATAAAGACATATGTGTCATGGCTCTCTGTCAATGACAAATCAGTTTTGAAAAGAAAAAGAACTCTTTGTATACGAGGTCTGGTAGTTGCTTGAACTTCAGATAAAAATAAGATAATGCATTTTGATAACATTGTTATTGTAATACGTCTGTACAGACGATATGCACTCGTGTATTTCTTTGAAAGAATAATAATCGTTTGTTTGTATTTAAACTTTTTATTGCATTGTAATATAATCTGCGTATATTGCTCTCAATTTTATTATTCCTTTGTCAATCACCATTCATTTCCTAATATTATTTAAAAGGCTGGCAACTTCATTTTTTTCAAATCCATGAATTTTCACTGTGCAAATATATACAGGAACAATTGTCGATACAACCCGCCTTGTTTCCAATTAGAGTGGATGACTTTTTATAAGTAAATGAAATCGCTCGCACTTCACACAATTATAATTTAATTGATGAAGCGGATAACATATTTTTTAACATCCACTTTGTTGAATCTATGCGTTATCACGAATACGGGATATCCTTTTACTTCTTTTTAGTTTCACTTGTTTAATCTATATAAAACTGCGCAGAATAAAAAAAAAATTAGTGAGTAGCCTATGTCTTCTTCCAGACCATGTTCTACATCTATGCCAAATTTCATCGAAATCCCTTTAGTCGTTCTGGTGATACCTTCAAACAAACAAACATCCATCCATCCATCTAAACATTCGCTTTTATAATATTAGTAACATAGAAATTGAATTGGTTCTTGATAAATAAGAATCAAAAAGTAATTCGCTAGTAAGTCAGCTCGTCACATTTAAGTCGGGTCAATGAACAGGTATTAAATAGATCGATGGCATGTGTGACTCGCAGCTTATCTACCACGAACTTGTCTACTGACCCCATTTTTTATCGCCCGTGAAAGTGTAACAAGACTTTTACCGAGTGTCCTGGTGTATTAGGGTTTTATATTCACACTATATCTAATAAATTATTTTTAACAATATAAAAACTAAAATTTCTATATTTTTGTGTTTGTTCTTTCCTCAAAAGTGTTACTGTTAAGATTTTTTTAATGAAATATAAAATCATATATGTATACGTAACCCCGGAACATCAGGTTAGTTATCGAATTGTCTTTAGTACTAAAGTTTTATTTTAGTACAAATATTTGTTTATTACTTTAGAAATATAGGTAGTTGTACCCCTGTCTGGAATAAAACGTAAAATAGCTACATAAACTACTTCAAAATACTAAGGCTACAATCCTTGTAGACCCACGTAAATAACTCAAAAACGACTTGTCAGTTTTTCCTTAAAAACCTATGTTAAGAAACATTCGTTTTGAAAAAAAAATATTTTTACCACTGACCCCTCCTTGACCAACATGATATAAATGTCATTTTGTTATAAATATATGCATCAAATAAATATAGGCTACTGATAAATATGATAGCACAGATGTTGACTTTCATTTACATTCATATAACACTATTATTTATTTTACGTCATGTGGTTAAACGTTATTTGTGACATACTATCTAGAAATACGAGTCCATTCGACCTATATTGAAAAAAAAACATTACGTTTGCTTTGCAAACAAAATGGCGGCAGTCGTATGACAAGCAAATGGATTAGCCTCTATTGTTAAAACAATTACGTTGTTCAAGGACACGTGAGCGTTTAAGTCGTAGTTAAGACGTCTGTCTCCGTTGTATAAATGTAAATATATCTATAAGATATCGATAGTAAAAAGAACTTGTAGTTATACATATTAAACATAATAAAGTTAGGAAAAACAATAGAGCGATGTAACAAAAGCCTTAGAGATTTGATGTTAATAAAACTCGCATGTGGCGTAAAAATGGTCTTGCTTAAATTAATGGTATTCCCGCTGGAATACATGTTATTAAGAATGACGCCTAGTTATTATAATAGAAATTGTTAAACCTATAAAATATAATGGTATTAAACCTTTTTTTACGTAAATAAGTAAGGTTTTAGAGAACACAATAACTTGGTTTTTAGATTTAGATAAAAGATGTCGGCAAATAATTGAAAGCACGATAAAAGAAATAAAATTAATTTTTCAAATACGGCTGTCTGAAGTGTCTTTAACTAAAAGTGATAAACATTGAAAGTCGGTCAGTATAATTTAAGCATCAAATTATCAAACTTTCTTTAACTTTCACGGTCAAATGGCACCAACGTGTAATGGTTTCGTGTAATGTCTACCGCGTGTAAATATTTTGACCACAAATAACTATTGGAATCAGTTACTATATAAATATGTTATAGGTCGCAGTCGCATGTTATCGAATCGGAAATCCGGCTACGTGTGGTTATTTGGAGCGCGACTGGGTCGTATGTGAGCGTGGATGGTCTGGGCCCATTGACAAAGGTCTCGGTATGGTGGCGTCCTATACGTATGCAGGCGGCGCGGGGCAGGGACGGGGCGTGCTGTCACGCACTTTCACCGATTGTACGCAGTGCGCTTCTCTCATGGCATATATTTTCGACCCCGATGCTCGTTTGTTTTTCTATCTATTTACCGTTGAAATGATAAATAATCTCAAATGATTATGCTAATTTAAGAAATATATCTAAATTCCGCACGAAATTTGTAGTTTGTAAGATTGTCGATTAAATTATTGAACCCGTAAATGACGAACTTGTATGATTGATGTAGGAAAAGGCAAGAAAAGTATGCCAGTATCACGCTTAATAGTAATCCGATATTTGTGCTTACCTCTCTGGGTTACGGGCGTGAGTTATATCATTCTAGTAGTGTATATCAGTGTTATTTTTACGGTAAATAGTTTTAAGGAGGAAATGAAAAGTAACTTTTGCATTCTGCAATAGTAGAAGAATGTCCGGTTGTCTATTGGTATTTGTTTAGCAGCTGGCACCTGCCCGGAGTTGCGACAGCGTAGTCGTAGGTCGTTCCGGCGGCGGCGCAGGCGCAGGCTACAGCAAACCGGTCGCCGGGGAACGGGGTACTGGAGGGAAAGGGGGAGACTAGCTTCCACACCAACGTATGCCTAGGTCCACCATATTGTGTAATGCAAAGAGGAGTCTAAAATAGAAAATAATAATGCAATGATGAATTTTTTTCTTAACGAATCGAGTTGTCAAAATGGTATAGGTAGGAGAGGAGGGGTTTGTTGATAACAACTTTATCGCTATATCTCGCTCATATATATGTATATTGCTTTAACTTTTATTTTAATTAAAAATTACACATTTTGGAAGTCCATTTAGTCAAAACTTTTTTCGAATTTATACTCAGAAACGGAAACTAAATTCATATTAACTTTAATGTAGAATTTATTACGTCATTAATCATTAGGAATTCCCTTGGCAGATTGATATTTAAAGCAGAAAATATTACTATTAAATACTATTTGTTATTTTACTATTAAGCGAAATTATATCACTAATTATTTACGACGAGAATTTCCCGACCTTACGTCAAGGAATTAAAAAAATTACTAGCATTAATTTTTTAAATAGAATTTTGTTTTAAATGTCCATAAATAGTAGAGGTTCATGGTAAACGTATGAATAAGTATATCCGACACCGTTGTTCTAGTGGTACGAGGATATACCGCTACACTAACTATCGCTCTCAAATCTATTGATGGAAATCATTCCTTCTCTCAACAATCGAGAAATTCTCTCAATTCGAGAAGATTATTTACAACTATTACTACTTTTCAATAAGGATAATTAGCGTGTTTTTTTTCTGCCTATTATGACGTAAGATCTACAAAAAAACTATTACTCAATGAATTTCTAGAACCTTTCGATCGTAGCACCATTTGCTAAGGTCAGGTGGGACCGTGTTGAAGACCTGTTTGATAAGAACTATAATTTTACTAATGTTATAAATGCTAATGTTTAGATGGATGGATGTATTGATGTTTGTAAGAAGGTATCTTTAGAACCGTTGCATGGATCTCCATGAGATTTGGTACAGATGTAGAACATAGTCTGGAAGAACACATAGGCTATTTATTAAGATTGTTTCAATTACGGACGGACGAAGTCGCGTTCGACAGTTAGTCTATAATAGGCAAAGTTCTTATAATTTTTTTTTGTGTTTCAGATCATAGGTATCCTGTGCATGGCGCTGGGTTCACCATGGGCGTCCGCGTGGTTCGTCTTCGTTGCCGTCACCTCCTTCATCACAACACTCATGTGGAGCTTTGTATACTTACTCAGCATCAGAGAAGCATTAAAACTACCCATCAATTGGGTCTTATCTGTAAGTATAGTTATTTGTAAAATACTGATTTGAAACATTACTTTCCGACATTAATTTTATGGACAAAACAATTTATACTGTTTAAATGTAATCAAATATGATAAATAATTACGGTATGTCTCAAACAAAATACCTAAATCAAATTTTTACTTTTTTGCTCATTCCGACAATACTGAGGCTTTTTACTAGCATTAATTTAAATAGAGTTTTATTAAAACAAACTTAGTAAACACGTGGTGTATTTGTTGAATACAGTCCCACGGGAGTCTGAACAATATTGTAATTGTCTAGTTCCCTACAGGCACGGGCTAGGCATGGCCATGCCACAGTTTTATTGTATCATAAAACAGTGTTTTTTGTAGGCCAGTAATTTAATTATATCCTTATCTATTTTAAGGACAATAATTAATGGAATTAATTGGGAATTTAAATAAAGTATCGTTTCTTTTGATTAGATATTGAATTGTCTTTTTATCTTTCCAGGAATTGATCAGCACGAGTTTGGAGACGTTCTTCTATCTGATCGCATTTATAGTAATGTTTACGACGGTGACCGGACACTATGCGAGCAATGTTGCCGCCGCTGTAAGTAATATTCATACTATAGATAAAGGTTTCCAATTTGCTTCATCCTAAATAAGTGCCACTTAGTGGTTATTTGAATTAACGATTGGATGAGAAGGACGCATAGGTAGGGGAAATATCTTCTTTCTGTGCGTTCCTTCCTCCGTCGATCAATGGTTGGCAACGCGTCTTTAATTGTAGATGTCTATGGGCATGAGTTGCTGCTATATTTCAGTCATTTCAAGTGTTCGCATGCTTCTTTGCCACTTTATGATGTTAAAAATATTTTAACATTTTAAGCGCTTAGATTTATAAGTCTACGACGATCTTTAATTCCAATTGAATCATATTAGATCGATGAAGTCAACTGCTCTAAATCTTGTCTTACTACTTCATACTTTTCTGGCTTAAAAACTTTGTTGACTATTGATATGAAAAATGTTAGGCTTAATAAAATATCTTAAGATAAAAGTTTCTTAAATAAATAATTCATCCGATATCCATCCGCGCTTTCTTTGAACTCCATTTGAGTTAACAAATACGTGTTACTTTCACTCGGTGACGAGAGCTTGATAGCGGTCTGCGTGTTAACATACGATGTGTGTATGCAGTTGTACAGTTTCCTAAGTTTATCAAAACCAATGTGTTGAAAGTTTATATAAATTGTTGATAACAATTTCGATCCGATCAATCATAAACCATCGGAGTACTTTTACATATATGTTATTTTTAGCTGAGACTTGCCACGAATACCATGTGATTTTTATGCAGTGGCATTTAATTTTTAATGTCTTTTCGTCGCTTTTTTCATTTAGAACAGGCGAGAAGACTTAAGTTATCAACTTGTAATTTCTCAAAGTACATCTTTGCACACATTTGTCGAATTCAGATACGTATAATTAGAAAGTTAACCTATTTAAAAATGATAGTCTATTTTTGTGTTATTTCGAAAAACCTAGGCCTTGAGATCTTTAGATAGTTATATTTTTAATTAATATAATAAATTCTTTATAGTTGTGGCGTTATATGTTTTATTCACAATGACAATATTAATGTTTCACAGAGGACGTGGGAACTATTATTTAAAATAATTCAACTAAATCCAAAGACACAAAGGAATGTATTACTCAGATAGGACGTGTGAAAAACTGTATGGGTTATCATAATTGTGTAAACCTAAGAGGATAAAACTATAGTGTGTTTTTACAATGATTCAGTGGCAAAGTACCGCCGAGCCGGATGTTCGTCTTATTCTGCTTACTTTTCTTACAAGGGCGAAATAACAGACCTTCGAAATTATTTATATTATTCGAGAATTGACGAGAAACTCACGTATTATTTATTTTCGTTTCGTTCTTTGTTATGTTGAGTTTAGCTTATTCCTAAGAAACTCTTTTAATATGAAACGACTCTGCATACGTTAGCAAGACTATTTAATTTTTCATAGCAAAATCTATTTTACGAATAACATTTTTATTACATTTGACTTGTCTCCGTTACTTTTAAAATTCTAAATACAAGGAGTATTTTATGGCCAGTATTTTATATAAATTGTGTTTTATTTTGTCGTCTGTACCCATTGAGCTCGAGCATAATCTAAATTAGTACCTAAATTAGGGTTTTTAATGATCTTATGTTATTTTTTCAGGTATTTGGTATGTTCAACACATTGGCGTATGCTGCCAGTTCCTTCTTGCTGTTCAAGGAGCACAAAGCCAGCGTGGCGGCTGCCTCGTGAAATTTATTCTCTTGCGCAGGCGCATTATTTTGAAAAATATTTTGTTGTCTTTTCATTAAATTCACTTCACTGAAACCTCTTAGGGTTTTCTATTTGTACAGAATTTATAGTAAAAATTTTGAAGGTCTAAATTCACGATTCCATAGAAAGATTTTTTCTCTTTGCATTGCATTTTTATACACTAACTTAAAGGCTAGAAACACTTATGTATTACTTGATATAAAGGCACTATGTTAAATTATTGTTTCGATTTTTAAAGACTATGTAACAATAAATAAGGCCATAGATTTTGTACCTACTTTTGTTAAGAAAGTATATAGAGTTTAATACGGTTTATCATTTTCTATTTATTATTTTTAATGTGTTCATTTTGACTGTGTTGACATTATGACTCTGTTATAGCCGTAGTTCGATATATATGTGTATTTTACAATAAAAATATGTTAAAAAATGACTAAATATATAAAACAAAATTAATATATAATGCACATATTTTCTATTTATAAAGTGACACGTTATTCGTGGTTTAATATTTAAAACTTATATATTTAGCTTAGCTAGTCTTAATAAGGGTTCACAAAATAATATATTTTTATTATATTTTCTATCGTATAACTAAAATCAAAATCAATGTAATCGATCATATACTGTGGTTGTGAGGGTTTTTTTAAATCAGAAATAGCAAAACATCCGTTGAATTGTACCGCAGAAACATTCAAAAATATAGTTGTCTCTGTTCTTTCAAAGAGGATGAGCGGGATGGAAATGTTTTTAAATCCATAGGTAACATATACCTAATCCGGAGCACAAAAGTGGGATAAAAAAAATAGTCCTCTAGAGGTCATTTTTCCTCAGCCTCAGTGTTGTTATCTTAACACGTTAGTTGCCATGTCGGACTATATGTCCGACAAGCTAATGTTTTAAGCAGGCCGTGTCGGACTATATGACCGACAAGCCATACTTCCATTCAACACCTCGCTGTGGCTTGGCGGACGCTTTTTAATCGAATTGTTGTATACAGCGTGGCCCGCAATGCCCCATAAAGCTTATAAACACCAGGTCAATTTTGTTCGTTTTTCGAAAAATCATTCCGGCAGCTAACGTGTTAAAGTAGTAAATCTATGGGAAACTTATGTAGTTAACTTATTACTGTTTATTTATGTATTTTAAGTTTAGATTGGTTGAGGTGCATACCTACAGGTGTTGTATGAAATTTACACAAAATCTAAACAGTACTGTGAAAGAAACTCGAACAAAAATTTAGTGATTCATTCGATTACGTTTCAAAGCTGTATACATCGTTTTATTACACTTACGTGTTAATATTTGATACCTAAGTTAAACGCCCAATAGTTAATTTAACTAATTTGTAAAAAGTAAATAAAGTTTATTTTAACATTTTAATGATATTTTTTTAATACGCCTACATCACACGATATACCAAAGTATCTACATCAACTTGGTATTTAGTAATACATTATACTACAAATATATTAAAATGATTTTTAATGAAAGAAGCGAGTAATATTTTTTTATGATTACCCTCACTACTTTTAAATTAGGGTTGCTCACAGTAAGAAAACGCGCTCCAGACGCACTGCGATCTAAACAATGGAGGAATGGTAAGGTTAAAGGTATGTAATTTGTGATTTTATTAACTAGACTAAATGCGTTTAAAGTATGTATTATACTAGTTGATCTGTATCATAAGAAAATTGCGACAAATATTCTACTAACACTTCAATAAATGTGTTAGGACTCTAATTAGTAGAGTCTAGTTTCTTAATTTTAACGGCTTATAAATAGGATTGGTACGCTATGTCATCTCTTAAAAATACTTCAAGGAATTAATTGCTTGTAAATATAGGAACGAGGCTTGGAGCGTCGGTGGCTCAGTGATCAAGCACTTGACTTGCAATCTACAGGTCCTGGGTTTGAATCCCACCATGTACCAATGTGTTTTTCGATTTCTGATTCACATATGTACATTTATCCGACGTTCTCACGGTGAAGGAAAACATCGTGATGCAATCTGCACATATCTGACAAGTAATTCAAAGATATGTGTGAAGTCAACCAAGCGCACTTGGCCAGCGTGGTTGACTATGGCCTAATCATCCTTAATTTAGGGTAGGCTCCGAGCCCTTTGGTGGGGACGTATAGTGAGCTGATGATGATGAAATATAGGAATGGTTAAATATTACGTCATCACTAAAATGATCATGATTCTCATCATTGATCTGGTGTGCACGTAATTATGTCTAAATGTCTAGATCTTTTGTATTTATGTTTAATCTGCAATAATTCGTCATAAGGCTTGAAAGAAGCTGCGTCTTAGTTACAGCTTCTATTATCATTTCATACGAATTACAAATCAAAATAAACCAAACAAAATTTGACATTGTTAATATTGCATTATTGATCGCTACGGCGGAGAACTTTGACTATTAAATATTATATATCCTCGGATTCGAATCTGTGGAACAACATCGACAACTTGGGACTTAGTAATGGTTCCCTTGGTCACTGATAGATGTCGTTACAGTCGCGTTCAGAATAACATCATTCGGTTGCAAGTTCCGAGAATAACTTTTATGAGCCTTGAATGCATGGATTGCCTTGACACATTTTATTAAATTTGCAGCTGCTTTCAGAATAAAAAGTTTATTAGTAAAAATTCAATGAATAAGAGGAAAATTACGGTTTCATTTATTTTGTCCAGTATGTTATTATTCGCGTGTTTAGAGTAGCCACCTACGCGCATGCGCGACCACATCTGACTCACCGTGGCAGTCAGTGCCAAAGAGTTGCAGTTGGTTATACAACGTTCGCGTTGGAGCGTTGCTTGTTAGTTCATTTTATAAACACGCCGTTTGTTTTTGTGGACAAATATAATCGTAAGTAATAAAAATATATACTTACATATATTCTAATTTGCTATATAATTTATTGTGTAATTAAAGAAGTAAACGCATCTCTTATAGTAATATCTTTATACGACCGGCGATTTCGTTCGTTCAATGGCTTATTATTTTATATTATTTATTTTTACTTAAACCAGACAGTTTACATTAGCTAAGTGGAAGTTAACGAGTCTATAATATTTGTTATGTTAATATTACAACACAGGCGCGTTGGCTCAGTGGTTAGGTGTCGAAACTTCCAGCTTATATGATCTGTTGTTTGGTATTCGATTTTGAGTGATGTTATTCTATAACCCTCATGATATTCATTAAATTGTAGCTGTTACTTATTTAATATATTAATAGTAAAACTTTCTAAATGTTGATAATCACGAGGTAATAAAGAATTTTTACTTTTGGGGTAAAACATTTCAAACTGTGATGCATCATAGATCAGATACTATTATCTTTTTTGTGCTTTTGACTTTATTATTTCTGTATTCTGCTTCTTAGTTTTCTTTAATTGATTTTAATTGTCATTAACCACAGATAAGATATAAAAAGATATAGTTTAAAAGGTATATTTAGAATGCATTTGAGTATAAATAACTCGTAACTAAATCAAAAGAGGTAAATGCACTAAATGGATGGATTTAATAAATGAATGATGGATCGATATAGTTCATGGTGTTTATATTTGTATGTAAGTGTATGAGGGCGTCTGCACATCGACCTCGCCAGCTCGACGGTCGCGACCGCGTGGCGACAAAACATGTCGACCTACGAGATCCATACCTTTTTTGGAGAAAAGATCTCCTCGTTCTACTGTACTTTATTTTACCTTCGCCTTTACATTACCTTAACTTTTATATATCTAAAATGTAACTATAACATCTTGAGATGAGGAAAACAATCTAAGCAAGTGATGCGTAGAGTCGATTTGTTGATGCTAAATCTAAATTCTGTGAAGTCTTGCTAACTTTCCAAAAAAATACGCGTCACTTTTAAGTCTGTGGCTGAAAACACAATTTTTTTATTTCGTAGTTGTTATTTTAAGGCAAAGATTATTTTAATTGAATAAAAGTTTTTTCCTAATAATAATACTAAACAAACAATCATATTTTGAGAAGGTTTGAACAAATGAAAAACATGTTTTTTTCCGCATTCCAGCATTGAAGCATAATGTCTCACACAGTGACGATTACTCGGACAACCACGACGAGCACCGGCCATGCCATCTTCGTTAACAATGGCTACCTGGGAACATTGCCCGGACTTCTTAAACTAGCGCAACTGGTATGTTTGAAGGGTTCTTTATGACTTCTAGCAAACGTAGTAGACATTATTGCTTAAACGATTACTTTTTAGTTATGAAGTCAAAAAAAACACCTGGAAATTAACCTTTTTTAATTTCTTAACAATGAACAGCGCCATCTACTGGATTAAATATGAAAAAATGCAGATTCTTTTGAAACGTTTACACACAAAATGATACCAGTGATTTCAGAGTTCATTTCAAACAAATTAAAGTCTTTAAATTGAGTTGACACATATAGTTTACATTATTTCTATGTCATTGATACTGGAATATAAGGAAGCGAGTTACGCAAGCGCTAATTTTAAACACGCCAATTATCTGACTACTTGTTTTAAGTTCAAACAAATGACAATAATATTGTTAAATTACTTTGATAGATTTTGTATAAAGTATAAGCGTTTTAATAAAGTCTTTCAGGCTGAACATAAAAGATAACTAGATTTGCATATAGTCATTAATATTTGTTTATATCGTTATAATTTTTAGTTGCAATCCTGAGGTTTGAGACTCGTTTCTATGTTATTATAAGCTTAAGATTTTAAGCATAATCAATCATTAGTTATAAATAGATAAACAAATAGGTCTCGAATTTAGATATACTTCATTTTTATACAACCTTAAAGTCCATTTATTCATCATTTACTCACACGTGGCCACGATTTATATTCGAGGCTCATGCGAGGTTAACATCGCTTTCCTGTTTCATGAAAACATTCGAAGCGATGGAAATACCTTCGTATACGAAAATCGGTCAGGGTAAACGTTTTAAATTCCTGATGCTTCATAACAAGAGCTTTGATTTTCTTGTATAATTAAATTGATAGATAAAATTACTTAATACAAAGTAGCAGTATATCAGGTAATCTTACTAATATTATAAATGCGAATTTTTGGATGGATGGATGTTTAAGCCTGGAAGAACATATAGGCTACTAATTAAGTTTTTTTTTAATTATGCGCGGACGGAGTAGAGGGCGACAGTTAGTTATCATAAGGTCGACGTAATTGTCACTAACTAGATTAGAACTAATGATTATATTGCTGTCAGATTTCATAATTACTTAGATTTTTGTTAAAATTTGAAATAAAGTTGTTAAATAAGTTGTTGATAAAATAGATAAAAGTTGTTAAAATGTTAACAAAGTGTAAACGAAGTCTTAAGTGAGACGTTCTTTTTGGATACTCGTGCTCTAGGCCGCGGCTCGGGCGTGGCGTCATCTCTGACTCAATATTTATTTTGAGTCAGCGATAACAGAGCTTAAATTAAACGTAAGAAACTAAAGTAATATTATCTTAAACTATTTATTAAAATAACTAAGAGTTATCAATAACATCTATATAGTTCTTCCTCTTTCTTAGCAATAATAATCTCATATTTAACGAATATGTTTTTACTTAAAATAATAATGTAAATATTATGTAGGTATATCTATATTTTAAGGTTATTTTCTGTTTGTCAATCACAGTTTTTATTAACTATGTTCATTCAATTAAATTAACAAACACCTGTTCTTACTCACATTAGTTAAATACGTGGTAAAATATTAGTTCATTCTACAGTAACCTTTGTAACGATTTTCCTTAAAATTGCTCGGTTGGTTTGTAGTAATTGCATTTCGTATTGAATTCAAGGTTTCAACTGGGGGACCTCGTTTACGAACAAATATTTAGCGAATTGAGTCGACGACAGTTTAATAGATTAATTTACGAAACGCTTCATTAAGTATATAGATTCTAGCCTAGACAAAATAACGTTAGCTTAACTATATCTGGTCCTTATATAAAAGTTTATGTAATTTTCATACATAGTTGACATTCCCGTATTTAAATGATATTTTGTCTAATGGTCTATGACTTATCTAATAATCTTGCAAAGTATTTATTAAAGTTTTACGCAAATGCAATTTTTGTAATAGAACGTCGTATCCCGAGACTATGATTTCATAGTCTCAAACTATTTTTGAAGTATACAAATTTAATAGCCGTGTGTTCAGTCGATGTGTTTATAATTCACAAGATTATAGTGTACATATTTTTAATACGAGATATTATACAATGTTTGTCACATTCACATGAAATCTTTGAAGATTTTGACTTAATTACTTACGTAAATTTTTTTAGCTTAATAAATTGGTAAATTAAAAGGAAATATCAAATTTTATACAAAATTTCATTATAAAATAATCAGGAGGTATAATGTACAAGTGTATATTATAAGTGTTTTATTTGTGTTATAACTAAAGGTAACAAAATAATGGCCAAAGCTGTTGTTAAAGTTAATCAAGAATACTGTTTTCTTATTGTTTATACCTACTTCTTTACAGTTGCTGGGGGCGGCGTGTGTCGGCGTGGTGGGGTATTACCTGGAGCCGGGTTTCTATAGGTACAACAATCAGAAACCCGAGCTCTTCTTCCTACTAGTAGCGGTCGCCTGTCTGGTCGGAACCTTCTGTTTGCTTACCGCCTGCCTCGTGTCCTTTACCACTGCATCTATGATATCGAAAACTATATACGTAAGTTTGTGTTTGTCTAAATTATTCGTAGATTTAATTAGATCTAAGTTCTTAAATATTCAATTACAAAACCTTGTCTCTCAAAACAATAAATAGAATCTGAGAGTTTTTATGAAACTTAACTCTTAAGAATATTATCTGAATATTTCCAGCGACAAAGGCTTATATTATCCATACTATTCACTCTACAAACTCTCCTCCATCTAATCCACTTCCTCTTCCCATCCGTTTCTAATATGAAAAGGTTAGGAAGGGTAAGGAGACTAATATTAGGCCTCCGGCACGCTTGTCATTTATCAGACGAAACGCGGAATGACTTCCATTTCACGCCTGTCGTCTGTGCGGTCGCGGTATTGCACGGGCGTGCCGGTCCATTCGTGAACAGATGTTGATTATACTAGGGTCTACCACTGTTTACAAACATGTCTTTTCAATTTTATTATAGATACTTTTATTTTACTACTTTTTTATTTAATTGTCACTTCCAGGAGGTGATATACCACGGAGTGGCCTTTATATTGTACTTAGCAGCTGGTCTGACACTTATAATTGAAGTTAACCATCAGAAAAGTAACTATCGGAATGATTTTGAACCTTATTTGGCTGCAGCAGTAAGTTGATTTTTTTTAAATACATTTAATTTGATGATAAGATTTTTAATTGAGGTAAATAAATAAGCAAAAGGAAAATTATTAATTTAATCGATAAAGAATATTGTCGGCAAAATTACTGGTTTGATTAATTGCTAGTTAAAAGAATTTTGCTAATATGATAAACATGTATGAGAATATTTATTCTTTTTTTAAATACTAATTCTTTGTCCACAGGTGATGGGTCTTGTAATGGCCGGTCTCTATCTGCTTAGTACTTTCCTAGCGAATCGTACCTACCGTGGTATATAAGATTTAATGTAATAAAACTGGTTTATTGATTCATGTATACGCCTTACGATGTCGTTTGTAACATAAAATATATGCTTTCTGTACTTTAAGTTTTGTTCTATAAGTAAAAGAACAAAGAAGAATAATAAAAGAAGAGAGAATAAATATTCCTTTGAAAACATGTACAAATATTTTATGCAAACATATACAATAGAAAAAGATTTGAGAAATAATTGGATGTCGTAGTTTTGCTTTAATATAGCCTCTTGTGTCTAGTCGAAGAAATTTTTTTGTGACGTACCTCGATTAACAGAGTATGACATTAAAATAAAATAGAATAATATAGATTCTTCGTTATTTAGCGTTACTACTTTATGACGATCGCCTTGTTGTTTACAATAAGAGATAATTGTAAAGCAGGAATAATTAAGTTACAGGTCTATTTATTAACTTAATTAAAGATATTTAAGTAAAATAAGAAACAAATGAAAACTTAACATAAAACACTTCTGTTTCTGTTTCAATACTTCATTAAATTACATATTATTATGGAAATGGCTTCAAAAGAAAAATGTTATTCGCGTAGTTATAAGAAATTGTATGATTTCCGTCTTATATTTTTTGAATGTTTCCATTTTTTTAAAGTTAATCTGTTGCAATTTTTGAATAATTGTGATCCAAATTACTTTGTTCTGCAAAATAAGCACATCAAACATGTTAAATTTTATATCAATAAGTAACACCGATTGTTAATTAACACATGTTACGATTATGTACCTATTTATATAAATTTAAAATGCGAAATCGATGTAAGTAAAATTACTTAAAATATAGTCGGTTTATATTTCTCAGGTACTTTAGCTAAGAGCTATTTAACCTGCTTATGAAGTCTAACCTTTATTTTATCAGTTGAAATGCGGTTAGTGTTACGACAACATATTGTCTTCCACTATTTATTTTGATATATTTTATTAAGTTATTGCTTTTAAGGCTATTTCAAAGGCAAAAAAATATATTGAACATGTCAGTCTATATTTATTTTGAATAGAATTTTTGCATTTATTATCTTACGACTATATTGTAGTGTATTGTCGAGATAATTAAAAAGAATAACGACTTATAAAATCGATTAAATTCGATATTTTTATATTTAATATAGCTTGTCAATACCATATTACAAAATAAGATACATAATAATAATATTTTTAATTATCAAAATGTATAAGATTACCTTAGATTTTGACGATTACACATTTTTTGAATCTTTTTTCTAAATAATATTCATGATTTTAATATTATAACTTTGTGATGAAGTATGTTTTTTATTTTTATATGTGTAATAAAATTTGTAATTTCTTAATAAACGTGTTTTATTTTATAATTTCGAATTATGAGGACGAAGACAAATTGTACCACGATTAATTTTGGGCCCATACGATGTCCACGGTGACATTTCACGTTTTCTGATTTTACACGAAATCAAAAACCTTTGGGATATGTGGGAATCTGCGACACGACGGCGTTGATGGCGAAACATGAGGTAAAAGTAGAAAAAGCAATGAAATGTAACTTATTATTAAAAAAAAAAACTAACACAAAATTTGCAGCTACAAAGAAACTTTCCACGAAGTTTCTTTTCGCCTTTATTGAAAGCTTAATAAGATTGAAATTTGTTTGAATCTTCATCTCTTTGTGGTACAGGATACAGGGATGAGTATTTCACCTTATAAACAATAAGCCAAATATAGAATTAACCCTCCACGACGCGTGCGCTCATTTATATTTAGAACGGGAGTCCACGCACAGCCGATCGTAACATTCAAACAAATCTCTGAGACTGTTCAGACGCACTTTTTCATTGAATTTATTTACATACATTTTATATCAGCTAGTTGGAGAAGAACCAATTTTTATTTAGGTTAGAACAATAGTAAACATTACGGTCAACGATCTCGAACTGGACGCGCGAATTTAAAACTAAAAATATTAGGTATGACTAACTCTCTGTAAATTGTGAAATTCATTCAGCCTAGTGAACTTCCCGTGGACATTCCTAGTCTGGTTTGGACGTGTTTGTGCTCCCTGAAAGATTTGAAACGATTAAATAACGAAACATAAAGTTTAAGAAATGACCCGAGGACCGACGATAGTGCGGGTGGCGCCCAGCGCTGGACATAGCGGGGGAGGCATCAAATGCTGTTGCTGCAGATGCTGTGAATGCATCAACTTTGGATACTTAACATCACAACATGGTATAATCAAACTAGCCGAAGCCGTAAGTACCGAATTAATTATTTGTAGAAAAAATACCTAATTCTTTTATATCTTTTAAACCCTACTTTAAAGAATATTTACTCGTTTCAGATGTTAGGTGGCCTTTGTCAAAGTTTGCTTGTGAAGTACGGTATGTCTGAGGCCAGTGTCATGGGCTCTGCGTTCCATGGCTTTCTCACCACAGCATCAGCGTGTCTCCTCACCACGTCCCTCCTCATTGCCTGTTACGTACTCTCTTCTAATTCTCAACAATTGATACGACAGTCTATATTCGTAAGTTTGCTCCTTCAATAAGATATATAAACTTTTATTTAATGTGTATTTTTCCATTAATAACATAATATACAGTTAGGAGCGAAGTTTAACAATGTAAAGAAAGAAACGCATAACAATTGAAATGCGAACGAAAAATAAGTTCAAAAGTCTATGATGAATTGCTAAAATATAGTAGCAACAGGTTATTTTAGTTAGGTATTAAGTCATGATTTGCAATCGTGACTAACGCTAAGCCCTGAAATTGAATATTACACTTGAGTAACCTCTAATCGCGTCTTGCCATCTTATCATTTGATATTATCGTTATGATTATAAAAATAATGGTAATTGGGCAGGGCTGTCGGTTGTCGGCTGACGATTGGTTTGCTGCAAATTGCACTTGAACTTTATGACTAAATTGATTAAATCATAAAACGTATTTTTTCTTAATTTTTTTATTATCGTATAATGCGGATAGACTTAACGTAATTTTTAAACTTACGAATACAATTAATGATTCTAATTCTGCCTGGCAGGCCATCATTATTATTATCTAGCCTTTTTTCTACCGAGAGTCGACATATATATATATATAGCAATGTTAGTTGTCATAATTGAAATTCGGACGAAAAAGCCCTTGTGGCTTTTTAATTTGCAACGAATAACAAGCGTATAAGGAAAATCTGTTAATAATATTATACAATATTAATAATAACCATTTTTATGTACCTAACATCAAAAATGAAAATTTTCACTCAAATGAATGATGTACAAAAAAACAATTAAAAAGTTTTGTAATGATGGTACATGTAAATGCAAAAAGAATGCGCGTCATTATCGTGATTGAGAATTAGTAGGAAATTAAATATTCTGTTGGATTTTAGTAAATAATGTAAACGATACAAGGTATATATTACTTTAAAATCTATTAATCAAGATATTGATCATATGATGATATACAAATACCGAAATTAGATAATTTGCAAGGCTAATGGCAACACTTTTTGGCATTGTTTAAATGCAATTTAATTATTTGACATGTAATTTTTATGGTTTCTGTTTATTTTTCAGGAATTTGTATTTAACGCTATTGCCTGCTTCTTATATTTGTCAGCGTCATCATATATGGGTGTGGCAGTGAATATATATTTGTACCCGAGATATTCCTTAATCAACATGTACGCCGCGTATCCCGCCATGACAGCCGTATACGTAAGTGACGTCCGCTATTTAATTTCTCAATAAAGACATCCGTATTACGCTAGGGAATTATCTAGAACGTTCTACATATATTTTAATATTTCAAGATTTTTATAGCGAAAGTTGATATTTAGAAATCGTACTTACAAATCGTAAAAGTAATTACAAATTGGACAATTTTGATACACTAACCATAGGTTTCTGAGTTGTAAATCTAAACATATTCATTTCGTCAAAAATAATGTCGGAGATGACGATATATTTTATACAGCGATTTTAGTCTCGGAAACCAAAGGTAAAAAACATCCCAATTATGAACTCGTTAACTAGATGTTAAGTCCTCATATTAACCAGAATTAGGAAAATTAATTAACAAGCAAAAGAAGAGACAGATATTTTTTAATTTGATAAATGAGAAAAACATACTTTAATAATCAAACACATTAATTTATTTCTTCGATAATGTTAATTAAAGTCAACAAACTGCTATCATTTTATTGAAATGGAGGTTTTTATGTTTAATTTGATAATATATTTATTATTGTTCCAGTACATTGGTGTTATAGTCGGCATTGTGCACGGAGTTGACGCCTACATATCATATAAGTACCATAAGGGTATTCGATAAGACAACGATTAACAACAATAACAAACAATTTCCACTCTTGAACAACTTGTATAAAAAGATACATAACATTATATTTAAACTAGCTGTCGCCCGCGACTCCGTCCGCGCGGGGTTAAAAATAGATGTAGGCCGATTCTCAGACCTACTCAATATACTCACAAAATTTCATGAGAATCAAGCCGTTTCTTAGGAGTATGGGAACGAAAATTGTGACACGAGAATTTTATATATAAGATATAATAATAACACTAGGTTACAACGAATGTTAGTTTTAGGGATACCAGCGATTTGGGCGACATTTCTTTGGCGCCCTTTATTTACTATGTCTTAGGTTTACGTGAGACTGTGTAATTCCCCCCTTACGTTACGGGTTACAGCAGTGGAGTTGTTATAACATATAAACCTTATTTTCATTCCTGTTTCATATGCTTAAAAAATTATTAAAATTATGTGTTAATTAGGCATAACAAAAGTAAATGTTTTTTAAAGTATAAACAATGTTGTTACTTATCTATGTTTTGACTAATGTAATTAGTTAACAATGTATATTAAAGAAATAAATAAATAACACTTAACATTTCTAATGTGGATACAGTGAGCATTTAATGTTACTAATAATGGAACAGTCGTTCAAAACGACATGTGTTTTTTAAAGCGATATAAAATTAGTTATAAAATAGTATAAGGCTCTTTTAAAATGTTGCTTGTATAAAATTATGTTCAGAAAACTCATATAAGCTCTTTAAACCAAATATATTTTAGCCGATTTCAAAAAGAAGGAGGTTATCAATTCGTCTGTATGTTTTTTTATATGTGTTACCGCGTAACCCCGGCTCCGATTTTGATTTTTTTTAAAATAAACATTTAATTATTTTCATTGAAAAAAGGTTTTTTGTTTTATTGAGTTAGTTTATAATGAATACATACCATGTAATTTGAAACATTACACTATGATAATTACTTAATATGATTGTTTTTTATCATTGTAACATTTATTAAGTAATTCCTGGATTTTATTCTAAATGTAAAGATTTTAATAAATTGTACTGTAACAAATTTAGCGAACGAAGTTAAGTAATTGTTCCAAAAGTGTACAAAGTCGCTATCAATTGTGTCAATAAAAAATAAATAATATGTTTGTAGTATTTGTAACATGCTTGAGTAGAGTGTGGATAGTACGATTGCAGTTCAACGGTCTCAAAAAACAAGTTTGTTAAGTCTTCTAAATATCGATGTTATTTTTGAAATTGATTCAAATTTATCTTACGCATAAAAAATTAAACGTGGTCAGTATTTAATGTTCAAACTTTCATCCTTTTAAGAGTATTTTTTATTTCATTCACTATCTCTACATATATTATAGGTTTATAGTAGAGATGTCTGACGGCAGGGTAATGACGATGGATGAAGGAAAATGCGCAGTTCGTGCCAGTTACGGGCGTCACCGCTTTGTTGACAACATTCAACACGAGTCTTGACTGTACGCGTATGTATAACCATGGGTTTTCACTGTCAACACTCATGTATAGACACTTAGTGTTTTTTTTATACGTCAGAGTATGTCTGTTTAAACATACTATTGTAAATTCGATAAAATGTATTCAATGTGAGTATTTTTAATACGGCGAGATATCTTATTATAAATGCGAATGTTTGGATGTTTGTTTGAAGTTGATAATGGCTGTATGGATCTCGCTGTATTTGGCATAGATGTAGAGTCGCGGGCGAAAACTAGTTATTGCTATTTGTATTACCAATATTTTTATCGAATGTAATCAGTCTTTAATTGCTGTGAGGTGTCTCTTTACTTATTTTTTTATTAAGAAAACACTTTATTTAATGATCAAGTTATCATTTAACTTAACATTTAAACATAACAACTTAACTGTTAACAGGTACATTACGGTTAAGAAACTGGTTAACCTTATATCAAAGGATATTAGTGAAGAAAAAAACATAATTTATTTTATTTTAAAGGCCCTGTTCGTTAGATGTCTACTGTGATCTCCTTTTACTGTGTTCTAGAAAGATCTCTGCAATATAAAAAAGCTAACTTAGTACAAGTTGACCAACATGGCGATCTTAGTTTCGCAGTTTGCAACTATTGGCTAACATATACATGCATAATATATTAGTGAATATATTTAGTCTCATTTTAGTATAAAAATATTTTAAATGCAAATAATTGTGTCAAAATGTTGAAAAAAAATGTAAAATAGTCAGTACTATATTATACATCTTTTATGACGTAAGAATAATTCGATATTTAATTATTAAATCAATAAATAAATAAATATTAATATATATGCGTAATCTTACTAATATTATAAATGCGAATGTTGGATGGATAGATGTTTGTTTGAAGGTATCTCCAGAACGGCTCAACTGATTTGGGTTAAATTTGGCATACACATAAAATATATTCTGGAAAAACACATAGGCTACTAATTATGTTTTTTTTAATTCTGCGCGGACGAAGTAGCGGGCGATAGTTAGTGTCATAAATTAATGAAAAAATTCTCTTTCTCTTGAAGTTGACGGTAATCTAATAGTTACATCCGTCTTTAGTTAACAACTCAGTAATCAGTGTGTTGAACAATCGACATTCCCATTCTATTGTCAAAGTCCAGTGGTTCAGTACAATGTTTGTGAATTTTCTTTATTCGATTGTATTACGTGAACGACCTGCGCGGCGACGAGGTGCGGCGGTGCGAATTCAAACACAATTTTATCGCATCCTTGAATATAACTGCACTGAATATCATGCCACATTGATGACACCTTTTACATTATCGCATATGAAAAGAAAATATTCAAGTACTCTATTGTTTTTATTGCAAGCAGTGCCCATTTACACAAATACAGCTAAATGAACGCAAGGATTTTTTTTTAATTTATCAAATGGGCTTTGTCCTTGCGACCTTACCGTCTCATAATTCTTCTAATCTTACTAATATTATAAATGCGAATTTTCAGATGGATGGATGTTTGTTTGAAGGTATCTCCGGAACGGCTGCATGGATCTCGCTGAAATTTGGCATGGATGTAGAACATTGTTAGGAGCAACACATAGGCTACTTATTTTGTTTTTATTTCCGCGTGGAATTTAATTGTGTCGGCGACACGAATTCAATAATTTAACTATCCTTGCAGAATCTGAAATGAGGTAGGCCAGGATAGTGTTTGCTTGGCCGATATTATACTCGCAAGCCTTGAAATATTTAAGCCTAAAACATTCGCTTCGATCACGTACGCAAGGTTCTTTAAGTCTAGCAATTAAGATCTTAAGAATACTTTAATTGGTGTATTCTTGATAAAAGGTACAATACCTGTATCTAATCGCATTGATAATTATCACAAGAGCAATGCATTGACGTTCATATGTTTATGATCGACTCTGAGTGACATTTTAGAGATACAAACATAACATTACAGTAAGTATGAAAGTGGAACACATTAAATTTGTTCTCTTAGTATCGAGTTAACTAATTCGACAAACGTTCTCGTCGGTTCCGCTATTGTTAAATGCAGGAAATAACGTTGCTAAACGAATGCCGCTCTAGTGTTCACGTGATTTGCGATTTACAAACCATTTTGTCATTGATACTTTTGTAAACACGAATGTACAAAATATGTACAAGTAAATATCTATTCAAGGCCTATGTACATCAAATACATGTTACTTTATGTTATTTTTATGATACACGGTTGACTGCAAGGTTTAGTTTGAATGTATAAAACCCAAATAATCTTACTAATATTATAAATGTTTAGATGGATGGTCCATGTTACGGATGTTTGAAGGTATCTCCAGAACGCCTGAACGGATATTGATGACATTTGGCGCGTATGTAGAACATAGTCTCTAACAATCCATAGACTACTAACCATGTTTTTTTTAGTGACTTTCATGAGTCGCGCGTTAAACCAAAAACAATAATAAAATGAATAGATCAGTAGTTAAAGGAATACTCAGAGATTTTTTGATAATACTGGGAGATAATTACAAACAAGTGACTAGCGTTGATAATGGAATTCATTTTAAACAGATAAGCTGCGATAAGATGTAGCTGTAAGTGTAATTATGAACAATGTTATATATACTTAAGTTTTCCTTTTACCGAAACTAATGACCGCCTCCGACTTTATCGACGTAAATTGAAATCTACAATATGTCCTTGTGCATCAGCTAGCTGTTCAGATTATCCGGAAGAAACGCGGTCTTGCAGACAGACCTTCAAAAATTTAAAAAATTGTTTTTTCAATTTCTTTGAATATTTTCTTTTTCTATATTACATACACGAACTCCGATTTTATTTATATGCATAGATTGTTATAAAAGATCTGTCTTCAACAAAATTGTATAACCACGAAATACAAATGTCTATTAATGTCTTAACTTACTCTATATTTTGTTGCTGAACTTGTTCGAGCTTTACATATATAGGTTGCATACTCGTACATATGTAGAGAATCATCACATGCAACCTGCACTTAACTGAGAAGAAATTCAAAGCCGGCAACACATCTGCAGTTCCTCTGGTGTTGCAGATGTCCATGGGTGTCGTTGATCACCTCGGTGTTCCCGCTTTTTTGCCCCCTTCTCTAATAATAAAAAAATATGTGTGAAGTCAACCAACCCGCACTGGGCCAGTGTGGTTGACTATGGCCTAATCACCCCTTACTTAGGGTAGGCTCCAAACCCCTCTGTGGGGACCTATAGTGAGCTGATGATGATAGAGACACATTAGATTTTTGTAACCAAAATTAAAAAAAATGCAGAGTCGATTGCTCATTTAATCTATGAGTCGTAGCTCAGTTTTAAATAGGTAAGGTGACCTTAAGTGTACCATTTAGAGTGTACTTTGTAGATACTGGCTAATGGAAGTAACAATAAAAAAATTATCTTTAATAACTGTTCAATAACAGTTATAAAATCATATAAAGTAATAAAAACAATAAAAAAAATATATAGTTGCCAAGGTGTATTGTATTTTGTAATATTTAATATTATCTATAACATAACCCTAAAATTTTTAAAATGTCTACGTACTATTATAAAAAATAACTCACGCGAGGCGTTAGTAAAGAAGTTTGTAAGTACTGATTTTTGTTACATTTTAGTTGTTATTGTGACGTTTATTTGTCGTAGCACTTTATAAGTAAACTATTGTTATCTGTTTTATTCATAAAGATTGTAAGGGATGAAAATATTTATTTCATCTTACTAATATTATAAATGCAAATGTTTAGATAGATGGATGTTTGAAGATATCTCCAGTATGGCTCAATGGGTTTTTATGAAATTTGGAAAACATATATGGTATATTTAAATCTAATCTTGATTTATTTTTATTGTAAATTTTTTGCAACGTCAACGTACTCGTTGTTTATCAGTTCACCTGATATTTATTTAATATTTAAACATTGAAAGGAAATCATTAATTATATTTATTTAGATAATTCTCTGATCACTTTCACGGGTAAGTAAGAATCAATGTTATAACATTAGTGATAGTAATATTTAATTAATTTCTATGTTATTTACTAAGATCTTATTGGAAATTTACAATTTATCTATTGATTAAACATTGTTTTATTAAAAAGTTTTCATAAATATATTTATATCTATTAATTTAAAACGTTCTTTGTGTTGAATATAATTTTACATTTCAGCGAAATTGGACACGGCAACATACAATTCTTGTTTTAAGAATCATTTGATACGATTATACTGAAATTCACGTGTTAATGTCATAACATTGTAACTATAGATTATATTTTCTACTAATCAGTGTAAAGTTTTATCGCCATTTGTTATGAAGTTTTTGACCACAAGAAACAATTATCTACCTTCACAAATTTTCTAGATCTTATTAAATACGAGCGTTAGACAAGTGAAAGACAGGACGGCGTGGAGACAGCTGGTCGACGCATCCGTAAAGGCATATCAAGACGACCTTCAGTAATCAAATATACTAAAACGAAGTATAATAGTCGTAGACGATATAGTCTTAAGTTGTAGAACCTTTTCTCACAATGAAGAGAAAAGGAGAAATTGAGGTTGACAGTAAGTAGATACATATAATAAATTTTTATTGTATACGGTGACGATCTTGCTAGTTAGTCTTACATATATACTTACTACTATAATACTTCTTACTAATCTTGCTGTACTACTAATATTTGGAATGTATGGATGGATGGATTTTTGTTTCTGAGAACGTATCTCCAGAACGGCTACATAGATCTCGCCGAAATTTGACATAGATGAAGAACTTAACCTGGAAGTTACATCGGCTAATTGTTAAGTTTTTTATTCCGCGCAAACGAAGTCGCGGGTGACAGGTAGTTATGAAATATAATCTATCTTCCTATAACCTTCATTGGTTACCTCATGATATATTCACACTTGAAAAAAACGAGGCCACGATTGAAACTTGCATGACCGATAGCAACGTATTAACAAAAAATGCTAATTTGAGATAACATTTTATTAAAAACGGCAAATATTAGAAAAATATTCTAATAAAAATTAAATAATTGGAAAGTAGGTCTAAAGATCTTATATTCAAAATACGTCATTAATCAATTTGAAATGTAGATTTCCATTAGGCTTTAAGTTAAGGGTACGTAAATCCGATCACGGGGTCGTCGGTTCGATTTCCGCGATTCGACTATTGTCGTAAACCATGGCCTAGCACAAGCATAGAGATTTGTTCGAATGTTACAAGAAATATTAGTAAATTACAAAAAATCTGGATCATATAGGCGGCTTTATTTTCCAAAACTTTGTTTTCTTAATTTACTTTTTCCTCTTATTACTTTCCTTATTCAATTCCAATTAAACTCGTCATAATGCATATAATTAGATTTATATTTTTAAAGTCATATCACTTGATCCATTTATAGAAAACACGATAACTTCTGGGAATCCTTTAGCGGATTAATGTGTATTGCAAACTCAATACCGGCTAATCGTTTTTATCACACACTACTAAAGCATTCAGATGACTTGCTCGATGCAGACAAAACATTTCAAGGAAGTATTTTAATATGATACAAATATGTAATCTTTTAAACGTAAGTTCAAGCACTGTTCTGATAAAACATGTCCTTCATGAATCGAACTTGCATTATCTGATAAAAATTTCTTAAGCGCTGCAATAATGTTTGTTCTTTTAAGATAAAATTTTATTAATTTTTTTATAAAGGTACTTTTTGTAAATCTTTAAGACTACAGGATGATTAATGTGATATTTTTTTTTCGAGGAAAGCGGGATTATACAGTTTACAATGTGGTTAATGGAAATAAGAAGATTGTTGAGCTGAAACGCAGCTAATGCCTTCAGACATTTTCTTCTCCCATAAATAATCGCAACACTAGAGAATGGAGATTTAAATTTTTGTTTCGATGTGCACCATTTTAAAAAGCAGTAGTCTCTTTTTATCGACTCGGATTGGAATTATTGTAGGAGATAAATAATTGAACAAGGAAGTTACGCGAAGCAAAAAGTAGCTATTTAAATAAAATAAAAACCTGATGGCTGCTGTTCATTGAAATTGGAACATAGTTGTGTTAAACACTAGAAACTAGACAAGAATATCTAGTTCTTGGAACTCTATAGAAACGTAAAAGCAAAGTTCAATATGGCATGATGACGACTTTTCCAAAATTGTTCGTGTCAGGTTACGTACACACATTATGTTCCCTTCAGTTGTGCAAAAATATGATTTCATTATTTATCATCAGGTGTAAGTACTTGTTTGAATTGATACTTATGATGTATGATACTTCAATAGCGACACGTGAGCAGTTTCGTGTTTCTTACCTACTGAGAAATATTGTACAATGTGCCTCCTTGCTCAGGTAACATTGCCCCTTGTTGATGAGTAATGTAAGTCAAACAGTAAATTCTTAAGAACTGAACTTGAGCTACTGTTAAACAAGTTGATACAAATTTATTAATAGGTTCAACTCGCATTCTAAATTGTGGTTTCATAAAAAGAAAGGTTTTCTCTAAAGTTCAAGTATCTCTACATTAGAATTCCACAAAAAAGTTAAATGTTTTCACGTGGATTATGACGACAATTTCTACGCAGACGTCTGCAACCGGACAATAGAACGAAAAAGATGTACTATATTACAATTGTAAATATTTTATGGCTTGAAAACAAAATAGCTTTGAATTCTGGTCACCTACAATATTTAGGCTAGCATTTTTTAGCGTAGCAATAAATTATGAATAGTACAGATAAGAATTCCGAGGCTGCCGTTTCCTTGTGGACGACACAAGTACTATCGAATTTAATTGAACACGTCATCGCTATCAGATATATTTGAATATTATTCCGTTACGCACGAATCGATGTCACGTGTTACATTCACTTCGGTTTTTCTTAGTCATAGCATTTTCTATTGTTTGATTACTTTTACAATTATAGTTCTATTAGTGTTATTGTTTATTAATCGATGTTCTCTGCGTACAGATAAACCCTTATCGGTATACGATGCGTTCTGTGAACTGCAAAAGGGGCGGATCACGGCTGATAAATTGTTTCCGTAAACCACTGGACGTCATACAAATAAGAGATTAAAAGTTTAAGTAATATTATGCTTTGTCATATGTGTTTAAACGTAAAATGTTTTGGTATGTTTTTTATATGTAGATTTATATCATCAACGGGGCCAAGCAAGAATCTCTAGTTGAGAGAATGTTCGTTAAAACTGGAAGGCTTCGCGAGTGAACTGATCTCACAACATGGTTAACTCCGCAGTAAGAGACGCGCCACGGAGCGCAGCGCATGCGCCACATAAAGGCGCCAAAACGTACACAGTAATTGTAAATAACTTTTAAATGTTCTATTCATTCGATTTGTGATATTCGATAAGTGTCAAAGTAATTAAATTCATATTACAGTCATCTTTAAGTTTTTACTTCTTGTGTGAAAGAACCGGACGTTCATCTTGTTTATGTAAGTCCGTGGAAATCTACCTTCTATTATAGATTGTTTAATTGATTCCTCGAGTTGTTACAAAATCGATTTAACGTACTCAACAGAGTGTGACCGTGGTGTGAAACGAATCGATTATATTTTGTGTTACCAATTAAAAATTCTAATGCAAGTAGATTTTGAAATGTTATTTTTATTAATAATTATGAAGCAATGGAGGCCACAGAGTTTCGCTTAGTTTGTAAACATTTACGAATTTCCCTAGCACGTGACTAGGTCTTGACCTACTTCACACATAATGAACCCACAAACAATCGCGCTCCTTACATCCTTACACGCTGACAGGTATTGAATACGTAAATTAGTTTTACCCGCATGTTTTATCAAATGAGGTGATAAAGGTATTGCTCATTAAATATTTATACAATGAATAAAGTTCCTCAAAGTAACTGTAAAGGGACGTAACTGTTGCTTCGCAGTATCTCCGTTTAATTCAATCTAAAATATAACTTGTCTTTTCATTACAAAACTATTTTTATTAGACGACCAAGTTCGATGAAATGTTCCCAAAGATAAACATCTAGTTAGAAATGCAAAAGCAAAGCAGTTTAACAGGTTATATTCCATTAAAATTTATTATTTCCTTCAAATAAAGTTACTTTCTTTCTATACTAAGCAATAAAACTCCTTGAAAATACCTTGCTTCTTTTTTTCAATTTCATATTACAGTACTAATAATACATTTTTTTTGTTAAAAAAAATATTAGCAGATTTTTTTAATTTACTAATATTTCTTGTACCATTCCAAGTAAGCTCTAGGCTTGTGATAGGATATGGTTACGACAATAGTCGAATGGCGGGATTCGAACCCCCGACTTCGTGATCGGAAATGCGTATCCTTAACTATTAGGCTATTGAACATATATTTTAATACTTAACATGACGGCTGTTAGAGATGTATGGAGTAGTACATACTATACCTTTGTAGGAATAAGGCCACTCATACTTCAAACAGGAAAAGAAGTGAAATAAAAAATAAACAAAACTAAGCTAGCACAAAATTATGTCGTTATAGTTACAACTGGATTTACCGATTACGATAAAGGTCGTAAAATCTTAACAACTGTCACAAAATGAATACTGACAATTAAGATAAGGCTTTATTATATATAAAAATAAATATCACTACATCAAAGACGAGTAAGTCGCAATACAACTGCGTTTGAATATTTGGATTTAGCAATTTTATTTTTTCTTTAGTCTGGTAAAAAGGAAAAAAGGGTCTTGACAGACGGACGGACAATAATGTGATCCTATAAGGCTTCCGTTTTTTTCCTATGAGGTACGGAACCCTAAAAATAACTGCGAAAAGTATTCGTTACTTGGGCTACAAATTTTGTATTAGATTTGTGCAGCGCCTCTATCGGGCGGAAAGTATACCAACACTTCTTATACCAATTTTGTCAATGTGGTTACGAATTTTCACTTTCTTACTTTCCGCAAATATTTGTGCTACGCCCCTTAAAGTGGCTGAAAGTTTATCAGTGTGCACTTTAAATTAAAAAATAACGGGCGACCATATTTATTGTCGGTTTCCTTTGGCTCTACTTATATTTCTGATATTGTTCTTTCTCTCTGAAAAACACAAATGTACAACATATTTTTACGTAAATATGATCTTCTAATATATTTAAGCTATCACATAAATGTTAGCAGTCAGAAAACATCTCAATAAATTCATTTGTTTCTACAGAATTGTTTCGAACTAGTTTTGTTTATATCATGTTATTGAGAAAGTTTCATCATAAAGTTAACATTGTTCTAAACTTATCTAGGTTACTTAAAATGTCATATCAAAGCTCAGAAAATTATGTAAAATTATTCAAGAGTCTGCCAAGACATTGTTATCATTATACCAAAGTAATTAGCATTTTCATCATCATCAGCTCACTATACCACCGAGGGGCTCGGAGCCTACCCTAAGTTAAGGGTGATTAGGCCATAGTCAACCACGTTGGCCAAGTGCAGGTTGGTTGACTTAACACATATCTTTGAATTACTTCTCAGATATGTGCAGGTTGCATCACGATGTTTTCCTTCACTGTAAGAACGTCGGATAAATGTACACATGTAAATCAGAAATCGAAAAACACATTGGTACATGGCGGGATTCGAACCCAGGACCTGCAGATTGCAAATCAATTGCTTGACCCCTGAGCCACCGACGCTCGACGAATTAGCATTTTAGTTGGCTTAAATTGTAAAAGCCTTTTCATGTTCTTACAAATAAGAAGGTTTGAACACTATTATTCAGAATAATACATTTTTTCACATTTCCTTTCATTTCTTTTGAAAAATGACGATAACGTAGGATTTTTTCTCGAAATTAGAGTTTATTAATTTACACTTGGTGTATTTTATGCATAAAAGTAACTTTACTAGGTAAAAGGTTTTCGTAAGCATAACAGCTAAAATACTTATTTCTACCATGAGGCAACGAAAGAACAAACAGTTCTAGATTCTTAAATATATGTAGTTAGAAGAGATAGCAGTAATCGTAAGTCAAACAAAGTTGTGAACAGAGTTACTTCAGCTTAGTAAATAAAGTTGTCTGGCGGATTCCAACGCCATTAACGATAATTACTATTAAATGATATCTACTAATCCTTAACTGTGTAAATGTTTTTGAATGTTATTCATAACATTTCTTCTGTTTACACTAACTTGATAGCATAGTTAGGATATAAACTTTTACAAGAACATACATATATGTATATGTATTTCAAACGATTTTTTTTATGAGAAGTGGGCAAACGAGCGACGGGTACACCGACATCATTAACGACGCACCACGATTTAAAATGAAAAATATTCAAGCCACATTGATTTTAGAAAAAGTTACTCCATACTATTTAACGAGACTTTAGCTCGAGTCAAAAAATATACTTATTTATATTAACATAGAACTTCAATGCAAGGATAATAGTATAGATATAATCATCCTTTTAATTATCGTTGACAAAACAGACTACAATTATGTAAGGACTAGCTTTAGCTCGACTCATTCCCCGCTGAATTAAATAAAAACTTAATTTGTAGCCTATGTGTTTAGGCTATGTTCAATGCCAAATTTTAGCGAGATGCACCTTCAAACAAACATCCATCGTAAACATTCGTATTTATAATATTAGTAAGATGTGTATCATATGTCATGGCTGTCTAATTTTACGGATTTCGGTGACAACATATAAAATAACAATCATATCATTAAGAATAGAATCAAATTATATGTATCCGTTTACCTGCATTTTTTTAAATTCAAAATAGTGACGTCTGTAATAAAGTTCGTAATAATAAATTATTACAGATAAAATATTTCGATTAAAAGATACCTATGTATGTTTGGATTTTCCATTCAAGCAAAATGGTTAGTTAGGGAAATTATATGAAATACATGAACGGAATAATAATATAAGTGAGTTATTATTCCGTTAAACTTTTAGTTCTTGAGTAAATGTCATACACGTAGAGATATCTAATTAATATTATAAATGCGAATGTTTGGATGGATGGATGTTTGAAGGTATCTCTAGAACGACTGCATGCATCTCGCTGACATTGTGATTAACGTTATGAACTAATTTCGCGGAATGAACGAATCCCGCTGAAATTTGGCATGCATGTAGAACATAGTCTGTAAGAACACATATGTAAACTTCTATTAAAGTTTTTTTACACCGCGCGTCGGCGACAGCTAGTTTTGTACATATAATAAAATGTTCCGACAGTCTAAAATGTCATCACGAACAAGGAAATACAATGTAAGATGGAATAAAAGATTTCTTTTCGTAAATGCAATGTCGGTAAAATGTTATCTTGGTACAAAAGGCTGTTTCTATGTAGGTTTATGAGTCAGTGTAAAACACAGCCATCGAGTGGAAAAAGTAATTAAAAATGATAACACTGTTGCTTACATCGAAGGACATCCATCGGACTTTGTTTTATTATAGAATTAACTAATTCACTATTTTTTCAATAACTTTCACTTTTATGGACTGCACACATAACATAGAATTCTTATAGAATAAAATATTGGTTATTAAAGTTTGAGTAAAAAAAAACGTTTAATTTTCTATAACTTTGACAACCCTGGTCCGTGTCCAAGTGTTTATTGATTCAAAGCAAAGGGTTTGATATAAAATACAAAGCTTATGATTAGAAATACTGATAAGGTTAGAGATTCAATGATTTTATTGATAGAATCAAGATAACGATAACGCGGTGTCTTTGTTCTTCGACATCTTATAATCGATTGAATAATACCTATAATTAAAGAGCATAACTAGTATGATGATACGTATTACCCAGGTACCTAAGGGTTGCGATCCAGATATACAGTTTAAGTTAGGCTAGGTTTAGGTTATAAGAATTTTATTCTCATAAAGGCTATGTCACTTACATGAGTACGTTACTAATATTGAAAATAGTTTAGTAAAATTAAATAATTTTCAGTCACAGAGTTTTGACTTATTGGGTGGCGAAAGATAGCATATATGTAAGTGGTTACATTCGCGAAAATCGGGTATTCTTTCGATCGGCGACAATGCCCTTTTCCAGATTTAAACTTAAAATAAACTAAACTTTTTTTTTTCGTAATACGGCATTATTAAATTGTACGATAAACCATTATGACTTTGAACACAACCCTGACTTTGGACTTGAAATCAATATTGCAAGGCTCCGAGAAAGGTTTATTGACGTATGGTATGATTCGCATTCATATGCTTGGGTGCGGCGAAATACATCTATATTACTAATCAATATAAAAAAATCTAATTGATTAGATGGCGACTACCGTTATGAACTCGAATACAAGCTGTCATTGCAGTATCAACGATAACACTTCCAAAATCGGGAATGTATATTTATCAATAGATCTTAATTGCTTTACGTCATATAATATTCGCTTTTCTTGGAAATGTTTTTGTTCGATACTAAAAATATATTTCCGATTCGCATTTGATATACGCAACTCGAAATTTCTGTGTTGATTTTTGTAAGAATTTCGATTTTATGGGATTTATAAGAATAAATGCATGTTAACACTCATTAATATGCTATATTATTTTAGGAGAAAATTTGAGTTGTTTTATTTGGTAAGTAATAAAGTATACATCTTGGCGCCTCGTCTGGTCGGCAGCGTTCTTTGCGAAGTTTTTAATTTAGAAAGACACTATAATGTTATTTATTAGGTATCAAATTGTTTAATAATAACAACTATTTATTCACTAAACTTTAAAACTAGCATTAGGATTTACTCATGCATTAAAAGGAAAACTACCGACAAAACACGCATTAATCCGTTTCTCTCTCGTTTTTCAGGTATACTACGTTTTAAAATTGAATCAATAATAAAAAATCATGGATCCAAATGTAGAAAAAAGTGTAAACTGGGGAGATATGGGTAAGATTTCAGTTCTTTTTTATCTTATTCTATAGCGAACTTATTAAAAATAATACTGTAAAGAAGCAACAAGCAGCAACAGAGAAATATAATATCTTATTTGTAATACGCCCATTACCTTAAAAAGTATTGGAGACATTTTGAAAATTAAAACTAAGATTTTTTTTTTTTAAAAAGACTAAGAAATGTTGACAAGGCAGCGTTTTACTTCTGTCCGAGGTTTCAATTTAACCCTTATTGTGCCATAGCGAGATTACTTTTTAAAGAAAAGTAAAAAATAAAGTTAAAAAAACCTAAGTTAAAAATTATTTTATAGTGATCGTATATTTTTATAAAGTTGTATGTATGGTAGGTATATAATACAAAATAAACATAAGGGTTAATTTTTTTTTATTGTTTTGATTTTTATCTTTCTTTTTTAGAAACAACAGCCGACCCGAACGTGTCTATATCCACAATAAGTGAGGACGTGCCGACGCTGACTTTGGCCACCATTTTGGGCGTCACGGTTGTCATTATCATAGCAATTGCCGTCGTCTTTGTTTTAGGAGTGCTTATTGATTGTAGACAACAGTAAGTGCTTTAAAAGTTGTCAGTTATTCTGATCTAAACTCATAATACTGAGCAAACATATGGACAATAATACTGTATCGATATAAAACTTGGCGTGATTATTTGAAGTTTTTTTTTAAATATTGCATTGTGAGAAATTTTTATTTCAATATACAAAAGTTCCTATGATAGTTTTGTAATAAATATATAACAATTTATCTTATTCTACAATTGAAGTGTTTAATATCAACCTGATTAGAACTTGATTAAATATTCCTATAATTAGAATGATATGAGATTAAATTAATGTATTTCATGCAGCATTTTAAAACACGATTAAAATATAACGCTATATAATTTTAATTCTGTTAAGGAGGATCTTGGATAAGAAGATTGGTGAAGTGAGAAGGAGGAAGAATCTTCGAAGAGCGAAGTCACACCCGCAAGCAGATGTAGTCAGCATAGTCAACGAAATGGAGGGGCCGGGTCTCAGCGTACCACCCGTGGAGGCGTTACGTACTATACCTTAGTACCCAAATGTCATTCTACCAAAATTATTTTATGTTATTAATCTGAATCTATGTAAATTATAGTTTTTTGAGTGTTTGTTATCGTCAGTTTCCACTGTCGATATACTGAATGGGAAGGATTACAGTAAGTCGTTAAAGTACGAACGTATCGGCATTGTAAATTTATTTAGCAATTAATATATGAAAAAAATGACGTCTATGAAATGTTATAAGAGCTCGCTGATTAGTATTATTGACGAAATATGAATAATTATTATAATAATTTAAATTTTGTTCAACGTATAATATAATTGTTGCCAAGTACTTAACATACAAATGCGTGGAGGTGAAACGTGTTTGAATAAACAGACTGTTTTACGTATATATAATTGTGCATATAGAAATGGAATATTCACAGTTTTTACTTGTAAAAAAATATTAAAAATACTTGAATATAGATGTTATAGATAGATGTAAAGAATCAAAGGATATATATAACATATCTAATTAAATATTTTTATTATTTACAATTAATTGTTTCATTATTCTACTTTTTATTTTACCATTAATATTAAAGATTATTGTACGAATAAGTAGCAAGCGCAGCACAAACAACAAACAGATTCAGCTGAATAAAATTAAAAATTAATTTAAATTTAAGTTTAGAATTATAGAATTGGCATATTAGGTTTAAAGTTTTTTATAAGCTGTTATAAATTACGATACAAACAGTGGATTTGAAAGGTTTTAAGCAATCGAAAAGTAATTTGGAGGTTGTAGGAACCTTCCGTTGGTGAACGGCGTACAAATTGTATAATTCAACTCAAAACTAATAAATAGCAAAAGATGACAAGCAATTGCTGGATGTATTTTTGATAATGAACCTTTCCCAAGTTTTGTTACAACTATTTTTTTATTACTAATGATACGCATTGAAATTTTTTTAAATTCAATAATATATTTGTATTTTTTTTACATATGAATGTTTGCAGATTTAATTTATGAGTTATTTAATTATGTACTACCAAGAATGCAATAAATGGTTTTAAGACGATCGACGCGTTACAATCGATACAGTGAGCATAAAAATTCCTTCGCATTACATTAAGTTCGCATTCGATTACGTGACGAAGCAGGAAAAACGTGTCTATCTTTGGCCGAATGTGCTGGAAATTGCGATTGCATTTTTAACTTAATGTAAATTTCTTGTTAATATGGCTCAAATCTTACAAATAATATAAATGAGAATGTTTAGATGCATGAATGTTTGTTTGAAGGTATCTCCAGAACGTGTGCATAGAACTTGTTGAAATTTGGCATGGATGTAGAACATAGCCTGGATAAACAAAGGCTACTAATAGGAGCAATAGGAGACGCGGACGACAGATAGTTAAGAATGCTATTAAAATTTCTACTTATTGAATCATTACTACTCATACTTATCTGTAGTTTTTAATTTATAATTAATAGTAAAAATAAGAAACCTATATTTTGGAGAAGAATACTCAATGAATATCACTTCTAAATCGAGCAAGGTTTTTACACAACTTACAAAATGGAATGCAATTGTTATACAAACATTCACTTTATTTACTTACTAGTAAAATTTATTGTAATCGGAAAATGCACAGCCAGCATCATGTAATATACTTTTTTATAATTAAAAAAAAACAATGTACTTTGCACGTAGAGGAAATTTAAATTCTTTTGTTATTTATCACTAAAATATTATCATCTTAAATCAATTAATTTGATTTTAACGAACACCGCTTTGATCAAATGATTGATTGCGTTGATTTTAATCTAAATATGTATCATTATATGCACGTTAACATCCTGTTTTTATTAAAAGTTACATACAAGTTTTTAACCTTTTGAACGCCAAAGTTATCTACGTCATAGACAACCATCTTTATACTGTTCTTTACTTCTAATAATTAAATTGAATAACTGTACAAACATACAAACATCTGCGCAAGAATAAGTGTGGTTGCTAAGCGTCATAATAATTTTTTTTCACCGCCGAAAAATTTTAGTCATACCCACTATAGTGTGTGCGTGTTTCAAAAGTTTTAAATTATGTAGTACGTCAATACCATATTATCTGTCTAATAATATCTGGTGATACAAAATTATTGAATCATTTTCCAGGTACAATTTAACAAGGACTTGCATACTAAGAATTTAGGGCTACGTGGATGCAGCCATGTTTCTAAGATAGATAAGAAAATGCACTTCATGTTTTTGGTTAATTTGCACTAATGGTTTACTTAATAATATTGTTTTGTCACGTATCACCATGTCTATGATATCTAACTACTACGATAAAGTATTGTTCATTGATCAGATGATGATAATTACAGTTTGTCTCTTACTGTGAGTTTGAGGCCAATTTGTCCATTTATAACATATTGTTATCTCGGCTTAGTCAAAAATAGTGACAGGAATGACGATTTGTTTTAAAAGGAGATTTTGGTCCCAGAAACCCACGGTTAGACCGCGAGCACGAAATTAACGACGAGCGGACGGAGCGATGTAATCAAAAGTATATGTACCACGGTATTGCAATGCGCACGAAACGGCCGGCCTTAGAGTAGTACTTTTGTTTTAATTACCCCTCTAATAATCCGTCGCCTGCCCTGCTCGTTGCTATTTTCGTGCCCGCGACCTCAATCCTCCTTATTTCTCTCCTATAACTCCTCATTTAATTAGGCTATACGTTAATTAAAAGTCCATACAAGTCGGCAATAGATAGACTTGTTATGTGAGAAGACAAGCTATTTGTTATTACGAAGATTTAAAATATATATAATCTCAAGCACTGTTTATGCAAACATAAACAAAAGTGAGTATTTTAGAGTGATATTATGCAAGAAAGTAATGAGATTGAATGTGGTTACAAAAGTAGAGGAAGACTGAAGAAAGTATGAATATTGTATAAAGAAGGGAATGAAATTAGATATGACGGTAGATTAAGATGTATGGAAGACTTGTACATACTACAATATATTCCTTTACATCTATGTACTACATACTGTGCCGACCATCCGCGGATAAAGTGCAGATGATGATGAGTATCTAAGTAAAACAAAATGATAAATGCCAAATACGATAATCTACAAATAAAAAATTCTATATGTTACAAATCAAATTGTTTGCGATTATAAAAGTACTGTCTACAAATATGTTACGTAAGCACTGATTTTATCGACTTATAGCGACTACTTATAAAGATCGGAACGATATAATTGCACGCCTACAAGTTTCAGGTGACTTTTTCGTCCACAATTGGACCATGAATACTTTCATGCATAAACAATTATCCAGTACGCTTATATAAGAAAGAAATGAGCTACATTTTGTGCAGTTTTAATGTATTTTATGACCGGTGGTGTGGTCACACGAGTCTGTGAAGTACACCTTATAACTGCAGTCATTGTAGCTAAGTTTACGTAGACTTATAAAGAAAACATTGCATTTATAATCAATTCGCTTCGATGATTATCAAAACATTAATCATCGCAACTTGATAACGCTAATCAGTATGAATTGTATGTGAGCGAACATTTTTCCAGTTCTAGTTGGGATCTCGACACAATCATACACGGACACTTTATGATAGTAAATTGATAAGTTTTTAATTACACATTCGATTAAAGGTGCACGTCGTTAGGTAACATTTCTTATTAATAAAACGTGTGTGTTAAAATGTACTGATATATTTTAAGTGTTTTATTTATAAATATCTTGTGAAATGGGAAATACAAAATCGAAGAAAGTTCAAAAAGAACCTGATAAATTTTTTGAACGGGAAAGATGGAAGGAGCAGAAGAGAGAAGAGAAGAAGAAGAAATATGCGAATCCTTCGAATAAACGGATAGGTGTTAAGGAGCCGCCTCTAAATCCTGCGTGTGCGTTGTCTGCGCCTGCGCCGGTCCAGCCGCCGGCGCCGGCACCCGCAAACGTCCGTTCCTATGACGACGAGGCCATAGACCGCATGCGCCAGCAATTACACACCGACTCGGATGCTTTTCTTCTAAACAACATTCTTATGTGTGTTCAGTTCTTTGAGAACTATGAGAGGTGAGCCTTATATATTTTTTTTTTATTTAGCGACTATCAACCGTCCCCGGCATCTCTAGGGTAAATAGACAAATAAAACATAGCCCAAATTAGAAATATTCGCCTTTAAAACAGTTACTCCGTCATATAACTGGTATAATTTAGCTTGGTATTATTTTTATTGAAAGCCTAAGGTCTAGTACTAAGCTGATTACAACTTTTACGTTGTTTATACAAAAATTTAAGCTTCTTCGTATTTTTCCTTATTGTTTTTCAATATCTTTTTGATTTTCAATGTCGTGTTCTCGCAATTACGATAATTTAGTAGGAAGTGTTATCAAAAAAACATATTTTTGTCGAATTATCTGGTATTTTGTAATTTACCTTGATATCGCTAAGTATTGTGGCTTAATATAATGAGCTTAATATAAAAGTGGAGTAGACAAACGGCGCATAATGCTTTATTATTGTGTTCTTAGGATTAAATAAGATTACCGAAAAATCAATGCGGCATTTTAGGATTATCGCGGCTTTTTTCGGCGAAACGATGACGATGACGACGCTAATCAATTTATATCTTACTAATATTATAAATGCGAATATTTAGATGGATGTATGTATGATTGAAGGTATCTCCGGAACAGCTCAATGGATCTCGCTGTAATTTGACGTAGATGTAGAACATAGTCTGAAAGAACACAACGGCTTACTCATTAAGTTTTTTTTTTAATATCACGCGGATGAAGTCGCGGTATACAGCAAGTCGTGTAATAATAATGATATCGCTGTAAATTTTTGTAGTGGATATTATTTTCATATCCTACGAACCAAATTTCTTAGTAATAAAATTAGACGTACTGTTTAATAAAAGTTTCTAAAATTGGTGTTGCAATGAGAAAAAATATTTCTAATTATGTTATGTTAATGTGTAACATAGGCATTCCAAAAGAATCAACTTTAACATTTTATTTATAACATTTTTAGTCGACTTCAAAAAGAAGGAGGTTCTGTTCTCTTTCTTGTTTATGGCTCTCCCTCATCGGATTGGGCCAAGGAGGTTATCAATTCTTCTTTTTTTTATTATTTATCATTTTTTTTTACCAATTATGGCTAGATTCATAAATGTACGTGAAGCGTTAGGATCTTTTTGTAACATAAAACATATCAATTTGAATTATCATAAAAAAACATTTGTTGATTTCTAAAATATACGGAATTTATTATTCTAATCTATAGCAATTTGATAAACATTATTCAGCCTAACAGATAAACAAATGTTTACTGTGTACAAGACTATGTTGATGCTATATTTTATATTATTTGAGATTAAAATTACAACATAATTAAGCGTCGAAGGTCTACGTAAGTAAAACAAAAGTAATTTAGAATAATACAAAATCTTTTGACATTCCAATTCCAAAGTTCACTAAATGCATTTTTTTATTTGTAACGTTTACGTATAAGTACGTAATTATGACATTGGATTGTTTATAATCATATGATAGCTAATGATATTATAATCGCATCAAATCGGGACTTTTCTTCATACTTATGATATATTTATTGCATTTCTGGTAATTTAATGCGGATATAGATATGCATTTTGTTATATTATGCAAGAAAACATATTATTAAGTTATATTAAAATAAGAGTGTTTTTAAATTACACAATAATGTATTTATTTTACAATATTGATTGTAACCAACTTAATTGTTAAATAAATTAAATGAATGATGCAACAGGAGAGAGAGAAAGAGAGGGAGAGAGAGAGATAAGAGTACCTAGTTTTTAGTACAAAAAAACTAGATAATAATAATATTTTAAACTGAGAAAACTTTCGATTTTGTTACTCTTTGTTTATTAACATTAAAAGTTTTAAGATTTCTAATGCACGCAATCAAAATCTAACCTATATAATACAAGGAAAAAGTTTCAAACTGGTGACCACTTCATTGCAATAGTCAGACGTCACAGATTATAACTTCTTTACAAAGAACATTCCGACTAATAAATGGAATTCAATAAATATGATAAAGGATAAAGTCATTATCAAAGATAAAGTTTCAAGAACCTATTCATTTAGATACTGTTATCGAGCATGCCACGCTAGCGGAGATTTCAGTTTGATTTCATAAATCACGTATACATTTCTGAATGGATTTTAATTTTTTATCACGTGATATCATAATCCAGGAAATTAAATTTAAATATATATGGGAGGTCACTTCTCAAGTACAAAGACGAGTTTTAACGTACTTGAATATTTCCAACCTTCTAGAACGTTCGATTGTTTTTTTAATTTCCATTTTTGTGTTCCAGGGAAGTGTATCACGTTAAAAATAACCCGATTAACGAGCGAGAGCATACAATGGATGAGGAAATGGTGCGTAGACATAAACATGTCTTCTTCGCGGATCGTCTTCAAGAATGCGTTCAAGAGCATATTAGTTTCCAAAGAAGGCGGGATCACAGTGAACCCCTGATAGCACCCAGACTTTTTATTATTTATGATAACGTTGAAGCAAGCGAACCCGGGGATACTTCGGATTATTGCGCTGTTCTTGATGCACCGTTTTATAAACTACGCATTGAAGATTGCAAGGAGTCAGGTAATTATTGTATTTAAATCATGTACATTTTATTAAAGAATTAAAACCCAAGTTTTTACTTTTCATTAATTTGCATTTTCTTAACGTTCCAGGATTCGTCAAACTCAAGAAATTAGAAGTATTAGAAAGTAGTCTCTCCAAAGAGAACGAAGCAATGCATCAACAGCAAAACCATTCAGACACATGCAGCATTTACACCGATTCAGAAAAAGAATCGAATGATTCTGATGACTCTCCTTACGTAAGTAAAGGCGCAATATTATTACAAAATATAAAACTCAAGATAAATGATGCACAAGATGATACTTATCAAATAAAAACGGATAACTTGAACGTACATATGAATACACAGGACATAACCGGAAGGCGTCCCAGTGGACCAATGAAACAAGTTAGTCTGCAAGTTCAAAAAAGTAACATCTCAAACATAGATATGATTCGAAAAGGTACATCAAGATTACCAGAAAATGCAATTTTCGATGAGGACCAAGGTATCATTGAGGATTTAGAAAATAGACCTAGAAAATCAATTTTGAAAAATGGTAGAAGAGCAAGCGATGCAAATAATGATCTCAAAAGTAAAACTCGCTTTGGGGATAGCCGAGCCGTGTCAGCAGATAACGTAGGAGCCGATGACACCGAGACTTCGGGTTACCGATCTAATTCTAGTAGTCGCCACAATGAATCAAGTGAAACGGATTCAGATTATGGCTATTCGACAATAACCGAATCTACAACTCCTAAAAAGGTGGAACTAAGTTTGCAACCAAAATTCACAACCTCTGGAGTTCTACCCGAGGAGTGCTGGGTTTCAGTAGATTTACGAACACTTGACTGGAGCGACGACGAAGATGAAGTAGCTACAAATTCATCCCGTCTGTCTTTAAGTAGAAATTTGTTTGAAACTCATCATTATCTTAGTTCGGTGAACTTTATGAATAACTTCGTAGATAACTTTATTGTCAGCTTAGGGTCAGGGCTGGGTTTCTCACAGGAAGCCATTAATAACGCTTTAACTCAAGGAGCTAGTATATATTGTGATGCGGCTAAAAATGGTTCGAAATTGAGTTACGAAGTATTTCCAGCTCTATTAGCGGCTTGGCCAAATGCAGCAAATCAGTGGATCATACGAGAAAGAAAAATAATTCAAAACCCAAGAACTAATTTCAGCTACCAATGGCCAACTAAATATATGGTTCGAAAAGCAATAGGATTCGGATGTCTTCTTGTGCCGATTGGCTTTAGACCGAAAAGAGGTATCAATCCTGACCAAAAACTGCAATGGAGAATTACATTTCCAGCAGCCGAACGTTACTTAGAAAGTTGCTTGGCTCATTCTCACATGCGGTGTTATTTATTTGCACTTGCCTTACATAAAACTTTTATGGAAAATGAGACTTCTAAAATAGGAATAGATGCTAGCCATATTAAAAACCACTTATTTTGGCAATGCGAAGACAATTATGCTAAATGGCCTGAAGACCGACTGGGAGAGTCGTTGAGATTATTTTTACGTAGTTTTTATGTTCATTTCGGACAATCGAGATTTCCGAATTATTTTATCGAAAACTGTAATGACTTTAAAAGTATTCCGAAGCCTTTACTGCTGAAGTCGCAAAGGAAATTAGCAGATATATTGGAATCTCCCGTTATGCATGTGCTCAATGCTTTGGACAAGCTAAGGTATAACAAAAAGGAGTTTTATCCAACGTTTAATGTACGCAGACTCTACGACATATTGACTTGTAAAAACCCTTTGCATATTTTAAATCCAAATATACCTGAAACAATTCCTCATTACAATGATAGTTCAGACAGCGAGGATGATCATAGCAACTTTTGGGACAAAGCTAAAGCACACGATAAACACTACCAATGGAAAAAGGAACGACAACGTCAACTGAAAGAAAGGCGGAAGGCAAATGTAAATAACAAAAAGAGAAGCGGAAATAAAGATGAAAGAGAAATAAACAAAAACGTAAGTAGACAATTTTTTTTACTTTTTATTTGTTACATCGCTGTCATCTCTCCTAAAATTGTCCTTTAGGTTTCTAATAAAAAACTTGGTGATAGCAAATCTTACAAAAACTATCATTACAGTACTGCATACGTTAATTAAAATTCGTTTATTTTCAGATAATACTGCCAGCTAAAATGCAACCAGAACGTCGACGTCTAGTTCTGGAGTTCTTTATTCCACATTTCATTGCAATGGCCCGTTCTAGTGAGAAATTCGAAGCGATAAAACAAGCTGTAATTTATTTGGAGCAAGCTCAAAGACTTTGTCGTTTGTTGCTGGAGGAACCCGCTGGAGATGTCACTGCGAATGAATATCTAGATGTGATCCGAGAAAAGTTAATAGACTGTCAAAGAAAATTAGCAAAACAAGTTGGCTATAAGTTACCACCGAGAGTAGACAGTTACTCTGACCGATCCAGTAATTCACATTTGATTCGTAAACATCGGCCTAAATATGAGCATATGATCAATCAAGATTCACCGTGTGATAGTCCTAGTATTGCTCCCTTCACCTTTGTAGATGTTCATGTTGAGAATTTGAAAAATAAGGATATGAAGAAATTAAAGGTCGCTGTGGACCCGGAAGAGTCGAAGTTATGATTGTAATTACATATCCTTCGTATATAATGTACATAATGTATGTAAATTATTGTTATTAGTATTGTATAGTTGTTTACACAAAATATTATTTTAGTAATTTGTAAAAGATAAAATTTAGAACTTACGACTGTTACCATAATGATCGCTTTAATATTGAGGTTTACAATTTCAAGAATCTCCTCTTTATGTTTAAGAAATTGTTTGTAAAACATATTTAACTTTAATTCATTAAAATAAAATCACGGGAAACATGTGGCAAAAATTTATTTCTTTCGTTATATTCTCATTTACAATTTCGTTTAAAGATTTTCTTAAATCGAAATATTTAAAATATTGTTTGTAATAAAATTTGTACATAAGCACTGTAGTAATACATACTCTGGTTAGTTATTTACTCGGTTTGTTTATGGAATGCTAAATAAGTGGGTTGACCCCACCTACCATTGACAACAGAGCCATTCGCACATACATGCCATACTCAGCTTGACGGAAGTACGCGGCGCGAGGATCGGAATCGAATTCCGGGGATATTTCGTCGACTCTTGGCAAAGGATGCATCACAATCATTCGTCTTCGGGCCCGTGTCATGAGTTGAGGAGTCACAACTAACAATCCACGCATCTGTTAACAAAATGTTAATAATTTAAAAGTCTATAGATAGATTAAATTACTTTCTTGTAGTACACAAATAAAAATTTATTGAACATATCTGAATATTGATTAAATTAATTTCAAGGAAACAAAGTGTTATTTTTACCTTTTCATATTCCTCTTGACTGTCGAATCTTTCACGCTGAATTCTGGTCATGTAAAGAACGTGAGTGTCAGCTAACACGTCCTCTAATCTTTCGTACACTTTTTGTGGAATGCCCTTATATGCCACATAATCCATTATATGTTTCGGCATGCCGAGTCCGGGCGGACTAACATACTGCAGTTGAACTTGATACAAAGTAAGTAATCTTGCCAGAGAGTGAACTGTGCGTCCATTCTTAAGATCTCCAACCATTGTTATAGTGAGGCCGTTAACTGTACCAATCTCTTCTCTTATCGTGAAAACATCTAGCAGTGCTTGAGTTGGATGTTCGCCGACTCCATCTCCTGCATTGATAATTGGTTTGCGGCAGTGTCGCGAGGCGCGCTGTTACAAAAACAACAGAAGAGTTATAGTGAATTAAGTTAATACATCAAATAATTTATCAAATATTGGTTACATTTAAAACTTACCGCTACAGCTCCCGGTTCTGGATGTCTTAATACAACAATATCCGAATAACTAGCCATTACTGCAACGCTATCTTCCAAAGTTTCACCTTTCTTTGCTGAAGAACTTGTGGCGTCTGTATGTATGACAGAGCCGCCGAGTCTCTGCATCGCGGCTGCGAAACTGCAACTAGTTCGTGTGCTGACTTCATAGAATATTGAAGACATAACCTTTCCTCTTAATATGTCATCCAAGTACCGACCTTTACTCACGCTGGTTTTCATAAATTGAGCAAGATTGAAAATGTCGTTCAGCGTTTCTTTAGTAAACGAATCGACGGTTAATATACTCTTACCGAACAGATCGCTTTTCTGACGATGTGATAAGGTCTGAGGAGTGTTACCATACGAGGAACTGTCACATCTTTGGCGCATTGTTGTTTGAGGAGGAAGTGGTGACATACTCCTGAGTCCGGTTGCATCGTTAAAATGGACGTTTAATTTACCCGAACCGTCGGGTTTGCTTGGCTCTACTTGATCCAGATCAAAATCGCTTAATCGACTCAACTCTGTAGATGTTTGATGATCGAGGGCAGAGTTCGGTCGACTCAATTCTTTCTCCGCTTTTTCGATAGCATATGTAGCGAAAGTTTGTTTTTTGGGCGATGGCCAATCGCGCACATTCTGTCCGAATCCTGGTGGCACAAGGATTTGACCTTCAACATAAGCTATTTCCCCGCGTAATGTTACACGATGAATTGCCCCGCACACCTTCATTCCTGCGAATGGAGTCCACTTGGATTTCGAAAATTCCATTGCATTCGGAATGGTCCATTCGTAGTCCATGTCCACTTCTACATACGTGTTCGGTTGCTCGGGCAAGTTGAAGATTTTACGAGGATTTCTGTGAAATTTATTAATAATATCTTCGATCGTTAGACGACCTTCGTGCACAGCATTAAGTAACAACGGTAAAATTGTTTCGAGGCCTGGAAATCCCGGAGGAGGTTTCTCTGAGTTTTTCTCTTCGACAGTATGTGGTGCGTGATCGGTTGCAAACACGTCAATAATGTCCATATTTTTCCAAAGTTCAGCTTGGTCTTCAGGACTGCACAGAACCGGTCGGACCTCGGCGCGGCCTGAACCGATGTCATCTACGTTATCTGTGCTTAAAAATAGATGATGTGGGCATACTTCACACGTCACTTTTAGACCTCCTTTCTTCGCTGCCCTGATGATAGAAATTTCTTCTTTTCGGGCGACGTGGCAAATATGAACGGGTCGATCTAGCAATGAAGCCATTAATATAACTGCACCTGTTTTTTCGCGTTCAGCGTGGACGCAAATTGGTATTTTCTTTGGCCAATTTTGTAAATGCCTTTGCCAAATAGTCATATCGTCGAGTTGCAGGGTAGTAAATGTTTGATTTAGGTACATTTTTAAAGTTGAGGCTTGTGGGGCTAACTCGCAGGCGGTATCGTAGTTGGTAGAAGATGCACCTACGAACAGAGCATAGTCACAACGGGCGCTCACTCTTGCCAGAGCGGACACATAGTCGAATGCTTGGCGATCGACCACAGGTGGATTCGTGTTGGGCATTGCACATATCATGGTGACGCCTCCCGCAAGGGCGGCGGCTGTACATGATGCGAAATCTTCTTTATAAGTAGCTCCAGGTTCGCGAACATGGACGTGAACGTCAATAAACCCAGGCAATTTAATGATATTACGTGATGTCATACAATCTGTATGTGTTTTCATTAATGGCGCCCCACCGCATTGCAACATAGCCTGAAATAATGTAATTTTATGGTTAATTTATGGAAAACTGTGATGTTTTACAAATCAGACCAAAAGGAAATACCTGAACTAGAAGTTTAGCGCATTTAACATCAGTGACCAAGGGAACTGCGTAATCGACAGCAAGCCGACGAGTGCGGTACCCGTGCGTAGTGAACGATGAGACGCGCCGCGCACCTCCTCGCATCGGTAGATTGATGACAAGATCCAACTGGCGTCGGGCCATGAAGTCAGCGAGGTGCATCAGCTCACCGTCAGACCTGTCGTCCTCTGGATCACCAATGTGATCAAAGGTCCATTGAACACTCTCAACCTAAAACGACCATCATAATGTCTAATTGTCATAGAGGCAAAGTAATAATTAAACACCGCAGTTTTGTTGTTATATTGAATTATTATTTACCTCGACACCGTGCTCTGCATAAAAGTCTCCAGTTCCCATGCTTGCGTATAATTTATAACCCATCTTGTGTAAAATTTGAACGCTTGGTAATAATTCCATTTTATGCTAAAATTAAATAAAATCATGATTATTAAAATACGACAGAAATAACTTTGCGCTAGTTCATCAAGAAACTGTGTATAAATGTATGATGTCTTTTTAAAACATTTTTCTCACCTTAAATGTCCCGACAGAAAGCAATATCGCCTTTTTAGGTATTCTGAAACCTGTGCTCATGAGTGATTTCAAGTAAGCTTCATATCGATTCTCACCAAAACATGCGACTTCACCTGTTGACGCCATTTCCACACCCAGAGTTACGTCTGCTCCAGATAATCTCGAGAAAGAAAACTGTGGAACCTTAACACCAACCTTTCCGCACCCGGCCATAACATTTACGGGCTCTACCGGGATACCCAGGATTACTTTAGTTGCCATCGCAACAAAGTCGTGATCGAGGGTTTTTGAAACGAACGGGAAGGATCTGGATACTCTGACATTACATTCAATAACTTTTAATTCATTGTCTTTAGCAATAAGCTGCATGTTAAACGGCCCCGTAACGTCTAAAGTTTCCGCTATTATTCTTGCAATTTCTTTAATTTTATCTAACGTTTCATTGTTTATATCTTGTGGTGGCGTTACTAGTGTCGCGTCGCCGGAATGAACGCCAGCATTTTCAACGTGTTCAGAGACAGCCATGCAAAGAATAGTCCCATCAGCCGCTACCACATCAACGTCAATTTCTTTAGCATCCATAATAAATTTGGAAATAACAACGGGATAATCCTTACTTACTTTACTAGCCGATTTTAAATATACTTCTAAATCTTGGTTAGAATGAGCTACGTTCATAGCAGCACCGCTGAGTACGTATGAAGGACGTACTAAGCACGGAAAACCCACTTCCTCACAAAACGCTTTCGCCGACTCGAGGTCAGTAAGTTCTTTCCAACGCGGTTGAAGTATTCCTTTCCGATCCAACATACGTGAAAATTTAAATCTATTTTCTGCATTATCAATCATATCGGGTGAGGTGCCCAAAATAACAGCTTGTTGTCTGTGTAAATCCATTGCAATATTATTTGGCAATTGTCCACCCATACAAAGTATAACCCCATCGGGTTTTTCAAGTTTATAAATATCCATGACAACTTCGAAAGATATTTCTTCAAAGTATAACCTATCGCTCATGTCATAATCAGTACTAACAGTTTCTGGGTTATAATTTATCATTATAGTTTTCTTATCTTGATTTTTTAATTCTCTAAGACAACCAACAGCACACCAGTCGAATTCAACTGAACTTCCGATTCTGTAAACGCCGGATCCCAGAACCATGACATGCTCACCAGGGAAATCCAAATCATGTGTCATTCCATTGTATGTAAGATAAAGATAGTTTGTGGATGCCGGCCATTCTGCTGCAACTGTATCGATTCGTTTGACGAAAGGAGTTATATTATATTCCTCTCGAAGTTTTCTAATTGCCAGTTCAGTACTTTTAACAGCGGCTGCGATTTGTTTATCCGAAAATCCAATTTGTTTCGCCGTTTTTAAATCGAGGGAACTTATGATATTGGGAGGAGTCGTTTCGAGACTTTTGTAGTAATCGATAATATTTTTAAATTTTTCTAAAAACCAACGGTCAATTTTTGTAAGCTCATAAAGTTTATCTAATGTGTACCCTTGTTTAAGTGCAGCTGCTAATACAAACATCCGTTTATCAGTGGGTTCTCTCAATTCATCTTCGTTCACTTTTTTTATATTTGGATCAAAACCATTAACATTTTCATCCACCATACGCAAAGCTTTCTGGAAAGCTTCTTCGAAATTCCTTCCAATTGACATCACCTCTCCTACACTTTTCATGGAACTTCCAATTTTGGTGCTCACTCTGTTGAATTTAGCCAGGTCCCATCTGGGTATTTTAACAACACAATAATCTAAACTTGGTTCGAAACAAGCTGTAGTAACACCTGTTACAGAATTTTTGATTTCAGGTAAAGAGATTCCCAGTGCTAGTTTGGCTGCAACATATGCGAGTGGGTATCCTGTCGCCTTACTTGCCAGCGCTGAACTTCTTGACAATCTAGCATTTACTTCTATAATGTAAAATTCTTCTGAATTAGGATTTAGGGCGTATTGTATGTTACATTCTCCAACAATACCGAAATGTCTTATAACTTTTAATGCCGTATTACGTAACATGTAGTATTCTCTATTAGATAACGTTTGGCTAGGTGCCACGACAATGGATTCGCCCGTGTGTATTCCCAGAGGATCTACATTTTCCATATTACAGACAGTGATACAATTATCGTATGCATCTCTAACTACTTCATACTCAACTTCCTTCCATCCTTTTAATGATTTATCAATGATCAATTGCTCCGAATGTGAAAGAGCGTGATGGGCTAATGTTCTGAGTTCTTCTTCGTTATTTGCAAATCCTGAACCGAGCCCACCGAGGGAGAACGCAGAGCGAGCCATCACTGGATACCCGATCTGCAATGCTGCAGCAATTGCTTCGTCTACTGAGGACACCGCTGCACTTGGCGCTACTTTTTCTCCAATCAAGTTAATTTTCTCAGCAAAGATTTTTCTATCTTCGGTATCCACAATAGATTGAATCGGTGTCCCCAGAACTTTTACGTTGTATTTTTCGAAGACCTTTGATTTTTGAAGTTCAACGCCGCAATTTAAAGCAGTTTGGCCACCAAAGGTCAAGAGAACACCGGTTGGTCGTTCGGCTTTTATCACTTGCTCTACATATTCTGGCGTTATAGGTAAAAAGTAAACTTTGTCAGCTAAGCCTTTTGATGTTTGTACTGTTGCTATGTTTGGATTTATTAAAACGGTTTGAATTTTTTCTTCCTGCATAGCTTTAACTCCCTGGGATCCTGAATAATCAAATTCACCGGCTTGTCCAATAGATAAACCCCCTGAACCCAATATTAATACCTTTTTTGGTTTTTCGGGAAGTGTTGGAATGTATGTTAATTGCTCTGTTATCATGTCATCTATGCAACAAACAGTTTTGTTTTTATAAGAATTTACTCCTTTTATAAAAATATCAAAAAGACACTCTAGATCTGTAGGCCCAGCTGTATGCTCGGGGTGGAACTGAACACTAAAGAATGGTAAAGACTTGTGAATTATCCCCTCATTAGTTTTATCATTTTCATTGGTGAATAATATTTTCCAATCAACGGGCAGTGTTTTAGCGTCTACTGCAAACCCATGATTTTGTGAAGTCATGAAACACCTTTTCGTAGTACTGTGGGTACAAGGCAAGTTGTGACCACGATTGCCGTATCTGAAAAGGAATTAAACTAGTCGTTAACGTACATACTTTAAAAGTCAAATTAAATTAATAAGCAAGCAAATACAGGGGTCTAGGCTCCGAATATGATTTTGTCCCATTCGGCGTCGAGACCCTTGGTCCGTGGGGTCCTAGGACTTTAAGGCTTTTTAAGGACATATCAAAAAAGTTAATCGACATCACAGGGGACCGAAGAGCTGGCAGCTACTCCGGACGAAGAATTAGTTTAGCTATCCAAATGGGGAACACTGCCAGTATCTTTGGAACCTTGCCTAAAGGGACTCCTTTTAATAATATATTTTAGTAAATTTTTCGTTTTTAATATTTTATTTAAAATCATAAATTTAAGATTTATTAAATAAATGAATGTCACTTAGGAGTATTATCGTCTAATCTCCTATAAATGGTATTCAATAATAACTAAAAAAAAAAAAAATAAGTTTAAAGTATGTTAATACTCCTTACCTTGTTTTATATGTTTTACAGCCAGCTGCAGTCGCCAATAACTGATGACCTAGGCATATTCCAAATACCGGTTTTACATTGTTCTTATTTTCAATAACTTTCTTTAAATTATCAACGACTTTTTTACACATCACTGGATCGCCAGGACCGTTGCTTATAAACAATCCATCGAAATCTTGCGATACTAAATCATAATCCCAAGGTACTAAAATAACTTTAGCGTTTCTTTTTATTAAGCACCGTATTTGATTGTATTTTAGGCCGCAATCGACCGCCATTATTGTCACTTCTCCATTGGGGTTAAAAATTTTAGGCTCCTGAAAGATTAAATAGGAATATTTCAATATAAGAAGAACAAAAATTGTATGATTTAATCATTGGTAAATTACCTTCGTAGAAACTTCGGCTACAAGATTTCTTAAGTTGGGGTCTGATATAGGAGGCATGGGCGCTGAGGGTGGCGTGCCTTGTACAATGCGGCCTAGCATAATTCCCTCTCGTAGGCGATGTGTGAGGGCGCGTGTGTCAACGCCACACAGGCCGGGTATGCCGCGCGCGCGCAGCCATGCCCCCAGCGAGCGTTGGGCTCGCCAGTGACATGCGTGACTACTCACTTCGCCTACGATTAGACCGGCGGCCCAAATACGCTCCGACTCAAACCATCTACAATATTAATTACAACAATAAGTACTAATATGATTTTAAGTTAATTGTTTGTTAACTATTCCAAAGATGAAGAAGTTAATTAATAACTACCTTGGTATACCATGCTCATCGCGTTCTTCCTCATTGGGCACTCCGTAATTGCCGACCAGTGGATAGGTTAGCACCAACAGTTGTGCGTGGTATGAGGGATCTGTCAGCGATTCGGGATAGCCTACCATACCCGTCTGAAATACTGGAAGAGAGAATCAATGTTGATTTTTTAGCTCGTAAAAAACCGCAAACACTATTGCAATGTAGACAACATGCTTACATTTAATTGTTTTACTTATAATGTTTGGACAACCTACCAGTGTCATTACCAAAAAACAGTTTATCGAAGTCTTCCTAATTTTTCTTTTGTGATGAATGAAGTAACGCTTGAACTCCAACGACAGTGCGACACGCTATGTGGAGTACTAGCTGTCGCCCGCGACTCCGTCCGCGCGAGATTAAAAACAATCTTAATATGTAGCCTATGAGTTCTTTCTGACTATGTTCTACATCTATGCGAAATTTCAGCAAAATCCATGAAGCCGTTCCGGATTTACCATCAAACAAACATCCATCTATCCCATCTAAACATTCGCATTTATAATATTAGTAAGATTGGGCCTACACTTATTCAAGACTGGCGAAAGTACTAATGTTCTTGGCAAGTCAAATACTTACCGACTTCCCCCTCCATGGGGACTTGAGCCCCGAAGCTCCTACCCGTATGCACGGAGCCATCGGCTAAGATGAGGCTACACGGCGGACCCAACTCTGATGTCAATTCCTTGTTAGTCATTATACTGGAAGGAAATTGTAGAAGTAATTTAGAAATGTAAAACAAGAAATAAATCTTTATTATTATAACATACTTATATGCATAAAATATCTACGTTACCAATCAAAAATACTCACTATCACTCTCTCAATATTCCAAAAAAATAATAATTGATTCCTAATTCTGCTGCTTATTTATTAAATATTTTGTTATTGTTCATTTTGTAGGATAATAGTTATTTATCTATCAAAATTCACTTTTCACTTGGGTTTATTCGATCCTGGTGACAGGTTATTAACCTATAGTCTTTTTGATGTCAAACTGGAGGCAACTCGTATATCAATCCGGTACCGATATAAAAAACTAACAGCAAAAGCCTAACCACAATAATATATAACAAACATAGATAATAAATAATATGCGGAAATATTGAACTGTGCTATCATAGTCAAGAAATATTTCCGATATTATTTCCAAATAATTTATTTACACATGATTTTTTACACACTTAGATCGTACAACAAAATATACATAATACAATTGTGGTATTTTTACGTATGTAGTATAAAGAACGATATTCAAATTTGGAACTACCGATCTGCTGTTGTGAGATAAATTGATGCACTTTCAAGGTCTAAGGGTACAAAGTTTGAATGGTCACAACGTATTGACCGGAAAAATATTTGAATCATTTTTCTTCAAAATTTGTTGTATAAATATGACACAGTTAAACTACCATCATAAAAAATAAACTTGTTAATAAGTAACAAAGTAATTTAAAACAAGAAAATTCTTTGTAAATATAACTTCAAGTTTTGCCATTTATAAATTTTTTTTACAGGTTGAAATATAGGTTTTAGGGTTCCTAATAGCTAGATTTTAATACGTAGGTAAAATAACTAAAGTACGAGTAAATAGTTATACAATAACATGAAACTATAAAATGTTTGTTTTATAAACATTTCTTAAAATCAAATCTATTTTTATGATATCTATGTTTGTCTGAAAAACTTTTGGGAGATCGTAGCATTACTTACTTAAGTTTTGAGGTTCTATTTGCCGACCACGTGGTAGTTTCCGAGTTCCGCGAATACGACCAGCTTATTCGCGGTCCCCGCAACGACTGGATAAATGAAACGCCACCAACAATGCCCCGCTACCGCTATGTTATCTAGCGTCATCGGTTCCAAGTTGCCCACTTCTCTTTCTTACACATAACAATAGTTATAGGTTGTCCCACTCGACCAACGTATGCAGAGATGCCATGCTTTCAGTTCGTTCTATATTCTTCGTACTTATTAACTAGAAGTTAGCTGCACATGAATGACATTTAGGACATTAAGGCTTAAGTTTCGTTTAGTTTACTGTTTAGTCTACTGCATAAAATGAAATTAATGTTTAACTTCCTTGACAAACGTCCATTGTTCTTGTCTGTACGAATCATCCAATACTTGCTTCGTCCATCATGCGGTAGTTAATCGACTGATATCTCACATATCAAATTAATTGAGAAATGATTTATCATGACACTATTCAGGTTATGTCTCGCGTATGAATTGTCTGTAAATAAGGTCATTGAATCGCTACGAAAAATTTGGCATTACTAGGACTACATACATTAAAATCTTATTGATATTACGAGTTATGTATTCAATTACACGTCTATTTAGTACTCAATGTATATGAAAGAGGAAGAAGTCTAATACTGGAATCACTGGAACTTACCTTCGTTAATTATATTAAACTTGCTGCCGCCCGCGACTCCGTCCGCGCGTAATTTAAAAAAAAACAGAATTATTAGGCTATGTGTTCTTTCAGACTATGTTCTACATCTAGAACAAGTTTCAGCGAGATCCATTTTGCCTTTTATATAGGAAAAAAGGGTTATTTTTAGGATTTTCCTGCCAATTATTCGAATTTTTTCGCACCTTTTAAACCTTCTCTAGACCTCCATGAACATTTCAAGACCAATATAAGATAAATCCGTTCAGCTGTTCTAGACTTTCAGAGAAACTAACGAACAGCAATTGATTTTTATATATATAGATTAGATTAACTAGAATGTCTTTAACTGTGACTTATATTATCATTACTGATAGTGGTTTCAGATTTTAGTCTTGCAAGCTGTCGCCATCTTTATTGAACTAAATCAGGACTCAAAAGGACTGAAGGCGGATAAGCGTTTTTATTATATCATAGGTTTTTTATAATACCATTTTGATTTATGTTGTTTAATTAAATAACCAATGTCAATCAATATTCATTTTATTAACAATTCATTTGAAATTTTGTTTATAAATAAAATTAAGCTATGGTAATTTGCACATAAATCCCCTTCTATTTAATATGGCAGAGTCGATAAATTGCATTGTTGTTTGCTTTGGCACGTCTTCTAATTCTAGCACTGAGATGGTGTTGTCTCCAGTTCGGAGCCACACGCCCGGCACGTAAAGGGTCACCTGAGGTCCCACGCCGGGCCAATAGCGGCCCAGATTGTTACCATTTATCCACACGTAACCCTGAAATCAATTTTTATTCAATTCCCCTCATTATAATGTTACTAGATATAGCCCGCGACACCGTCCACGCTAAATAAAAGAAATATTAAGTAGCCTATGTGTTCGCTGGCAGGAGAAGGCGCAAGACAGGCGCCTTTGGCGATCTCTTGTGTCGGAGGCCAAGATCCGCTTTGGGTCGATGTGCCTGCGGAGTAAGTAAGCCTTTGTGTTCTTCCATACTATGTTTTATAAGTGAGCCAAATTTCATCAAAATCTTTTCCGCTCTGTAGATACCTTCAAACAAAGATCCATCCATCCATCCATCACATTTACATTTATAATATTAGTAAGAAGTAAGATTACGTTGGGAGAACGCAACTGTTCAATAATTTTGCTAATTGTTAGTGTTACATTATTACATTGCCTAGAATTTCGAAGACACTTTCATTTCGACATTTTCAGTTGATTAGTAAATTAAATATAACAATTTATAGCATACCTTTCCCCAACCAGTAGTATCGAGGTAAGTGTCCAAAATCTTCATATGACTCGGGATATGGAAGAAAGTTTCAAAAACAACAGGACCTTCCTTAGGATCTATTTCATCTGTTTTAAAACTATGTAATCCTACAAAATTTAAAGGATATCCTGTCACGGACCATTTACCGTCGAGGACTTTGCCATTGTATTGGACTGGACTAAGAATACCCTGAAACAAAAGAAAGGCAATGTTGACTTCTTGTTTTTTTATACTAAACATAAAATATTGTATTACTTTTTTTACCATTTAAAATTAAAAACGTATAATATTCATTATTAATTTTGTCTTTTCATAATATGTATTACGTTTGCTTTTAATTGACATTATTTGTTCGCAATTTATGTGTTTTTAAATAATTAAGTTCTTCAGAAGGAAACTGAAAGTTACCATATACTAAAAGTAACATTTCAAATGTGATTATGACATTAAAATGTTGCATGATTGTATCATTTGACGATTTATACTCACTTTGTAGTCATGAAGACGATTACCGTAATTGATACGCCCTTGATTTTCCACCAGTAATGATAGAGTCGATCCTGGTTTAGTTGTCAAGTTAACGGAGGTTTGCTTGCAATTTCTATAAAGAACTCCTTGTAATTCCTGAAATATAATATTGAGATACAGAGAACTTAATAATGGTCTGAGTTAGTAAGACCTAGTATTATTAGTAGTCTTTTAATTCTAGTCTTTAAAAATATTTATACCTAAAAATGTAGCTGTTTGAGTTTCAGTGCTAATTAAAAAAAGGTTACTTTGCTATACAATGTTAAAGATTACTTCTTACTAATTTTAGGGTTCCGTACCTCGAAAGGAAAAAACGGAAACCTTATATCACTTTGTTATCCGTACGTCTGTCTGTCAATACCCTTTTTCTCAGGAACGTGTGAGGGTATCAAGCTGGAGTTTGTTTATAACCCTATATAAACCAATATATAAACTACTATTTACGGACTAAAGCCATCTTACTTAAAAACTTAATTTAAAAAACTTAAATTTAACTTACTTTATCGACGTAGACATATACAGTGTCACGTGGCTTCGTAATAATTAATTCTCCGCTTGTATCATTAACTATTGTTTCATAAAGTAACAACCCAGCTCTTTGTCTCAAAGTTTCGAACGTCGGTAACTTAGAACCCCTTACTTCATTGTATTTCTTCCCTAAATGACTGCGTCCGTTTGTACTTAAAATGCTGCCTTTTGGTTGTAAAATTACTTCACCGTATGCCGCTTTTTTAGATACCACAGGCAGTGGAATGCTCTTCACTTCTGAATAGTACTGGAAAATTCGATAATAGATTATAATTTTTTTTCTTTTAAGATGCAAGGTTTATCTTAGAACAATATTCTGTTTAATTTAATTTAGAGAATTTTACGGATGTTTTAGCTTCCAAAAATCTAAAAAAAACGTTTTCTTACTAATATTATAAATGCGAATGTTTGGATGGATGGATGAATGTTTGTTAGAAGGTATCTCGAGAACCGCTGTATGGATCTAGATGAAATTTGGCATAGATGTAGAACATAGTAACAAGTTCTTACTTACTATTATATGTTTTGCATCAATGTCACACAGGCTACTAAGTTTTTTTTTATTTCCGCGCGGACGGAGTCGCGGGCGATAGGTAATACTTTTATAAGTGTTCTTTATACATACCGTTGCTAAAGTATCTCTTATGAGATAATATTTCTCTGTCGGATCTCCTGCTTCGGTTAGTGGTGCGTCATAGTCGTACGACGTTATATCAGGTAAATAAGACCTATCGTAATTTGCACCTGAAATTATTATACACATTATTCAACAATGTAAAAGTAAATGTCATTAGTTTAATTTTTAACAAGCTGCAAAGAGGGTAATTGAAATGTTCACGAACCAGAAGTAAATTCAAAGTTAGAACCACCAAAGAACATGTAGAAGTTAACATTGAATTGGTTGTCCAACAAGACGCGAAGTGTTTCCACTAGATGTCGTCCAGATATCTGCTGCAGCGATTCATTCCAGTGTGTGAGCCAGCCGGAATAGTATTCAGAATTCATCAGCGGCCCGTGCGGGAAATAACGACGGAATGTTCGCTTAACTCTCCCAACGTCGGAGTAACTCTGGAATTAATATGTGAAATATTTTAAATTGCGACAAACCAAGTCAAGGTTTAGTAAAATCAGATTTTCTTTCGTTTTATTCTCTCGCTGCTCCGTTCCTAATTTGACGAACAATTATATAAAAAATAATTGCTACCTCAGATTTCTTTATAATTACTTAAAATTATGAACTTACACCAAAATCAATAGTAGGCACAGCGCCATCAATTGATCCACTGAGGAACATAGATGGATCTGTACCGTCAGTCGTGTACAACAGGGCTTTGTCGTCCACGTGCGATAACAATATATCACGAACTGCTCCCATATATTTCTTGTCTCGTCCATAACTGCCGTATTCATTTTCTACCTGAAATTATAAGTATTGAGGTAAAAGACTAGACCTTTTTATGGGTTAAACATCAAGCGTATTAGATATGTAAGCCACTTAAGATTACATTTACGGTACTTTACAAATTTATTACGGTACTTTATGAAAAACATGAAAGGATTATGAGCAAAAATCATTCTAACAGTAAAAGAACTTGGGAGTGAAAGGAATGATATAAACACAAATATAGAGAACAACCAAAGGAAGTATGGATAAATTCTTTGTAAGAGGATAGGCGTAGGAAGGGAGGAGATTCAGATATGATGGCTGATGGAGATGAGGCTAAGAGAGTGTGGAGGAGTAGTACATACTGTGCCGACCCTCCGTAAAGATAAGGGCAGATTGATGATGAGTAAAAGAACTTGGAAGTATGTTCTTAGTTTTGGTATTACATATTTCGTGTACTACATAAAATAAAAATATACCTGAACTAATATAATTGGTCCGCCATTTCCAAGCAATAATGGTTTCAAATACGTAAACAGTTTTGCCATCCATTCTTCAGTTTCACGAATAAAATCTGAATCAATGATAATCTTTTATTAAACTATTCAAATTATTTTAATTGCATGTTAATATCGTTGCAGTGTTTGAATACCTTTATCAACAGTACGCAGCCTTATGTTGGGATATTTGCCTAGCAGCCAGTACGGCAATCCACCCTGAAAAAAAAAATGAAAACAAAATTTTACTTTATGTAACATGTGTGTAGAAATTTGAACAATTTTATGCTTCAGTTGTTAATAAAAATTGATTTATAATCTGTGAAATGGTAATTTAAATTAAATTAGTATACAAAAAGACATTGTATAGTAGGCATATGGTTTTGATTTTTTGAGAAGAGAAAACAGCATACATATCTTAATTATAAATGCTAAAGTTTGGATGGATGTTTGTTAGAAGGTATCTCTAGAACGGCTGCACGGACGTTGCAGAAATTTGGCATACATGTAGGACATAGTCTGGAGGAGTAAATAGGTTATACATTAGTTTTTTTTGTTTTATTCCGCGGAGACAGAGCCGCGGGCGACGGAAAGTATAATCTTAATAAAAGTTCGAACCAAATCTCTCTCAGCACATATGTAAGGACCAGGTCGCAGCAACACGTGCAAGCCCTCCTCGGCTGCGATCTGGACAAAGCGGGCGACGTCCCGATCCCCCTCGAATATGTACTGCCCTTCCTCCGGCTCGTGGTAGCTCCATTCAACGTACCTGGATAATTAAAATTTAACTAGGCCATTGCAATTGGGACACGCGAGGTCATTATCGTTCTAAATGACGCGATTAAGCGCCTCGACCTAACTACAAGCGATTATGATTATCAGCTATTTAATGCATTCTTTGTTGTCATTATTATTGTTTACGTGAACGAAAACTAATGAGAACCATAGAAAAAATCTAACTTGTATCATAAACGCGAATGTTTGGATGGATGGATGATATTTGGCATAGATGCAAACAGCCTAGAGAATACGTAGCCTACTAATTAAGTTTTATTTACTCTTGGCCACGGTTGCAGGCGACAGCTAGGTGCAACTAAAAGTCAGTTTTAAGTGTTATATCCTACATAATACGACAGTCTTCGTATTGTAAACTGGCTTTGGTGATCAGTGATAGGAAGAACTTCCGTAGACAGAGTAAATTAATTAATTAAGAAATTATTATCAGTGAACTTACGTAGACACAGAGTTAAGTCCTGCAGCTTTAAGTTTACGTAATCGATCCCTCCAGTAGGCGGCCGGCAGCCGGAAGTAGTGCAGGGAACCGGATATGATCCTTAGCGGTTTGCCGTCCAATACAAACTCGTCGCCAACCACGCTTATGTTACGACCAGCCTGCCAAACAATACTCTTACGAGTTTATTCATAAAATGATAAAGCAATTCCACCATCCCGAGCTTTAGTTCTTATAATTATAGAACATTACAATCTTTGTAGTCCTAGTCGTAAAAATATTTACTGATTGCTAAAAAACAGTACGTGAACTTATCTTAGGGTCGCAAATGCTAGGGTACATTTTTGAATACAAGTTGTATATTACCATAAACACGTCGAAACGTTTCCAAAGAAATTAAACACATTGTCTGTTTTCATCCAACATATGAAATAATTTTTAAATATACTAGATGAATACAAAAACATATGAATAGATAATTATAAGTGATTAAATAACAACATAGCTTTAAAAACAATGGGAATTATAATGTACAAAACAAGAAGGTATGAACGCTTCTATTGAAACCTTGGGAAGAAGCGAATTCGTGATTTGAACAGGTGTGGCCTTTACTTTGAAGTTTCCCATTGATAATCGTTATCGTTTTTTTCTTTAGATTTCGTTGACAACCGGTTAAGACTGCTATTCAGTTATTTTTGTATTCTTTGGTAAAGATGTAATGAATTATGTTAACTTACGATTAACGAATTTATGAAGAGATATGTTAAAATTATTAACCAAAATGATTACAATCTTTTGCAATTAATACGCGTATATATTATTTTATACACTACGTTTATTATAATTCTTTTATACGTTTATCTTTTATTTTTCTATTAGTTTTTTATTTATTAAATTCGAAAGAAGTCTGGCAACTTTTTTCTTTTGAATTTAAAATATATTAAATCTAAGTTAAAATGTTATTGATATTGTCCACTAATAAAGTATGCATGAGATAAAAAAGAAATAATCAACTAATTAACAATAAACATTTTAATTAATCGAACCACATGGCTCGTAGCATGCTCATAATATGATACTAAAAAACGATTTCAAACATATGGTACGAAATTATATGATACTGGTTGAAACTGATTTAAAAATTTAACCTTCAATGGTTAAAAACGTATAAGTAATGAAAATTTGATCATTATTAAAGATTTAGTTATCTGCTCTTTAGAAAACTTACGCCTAAATATTTTACCGCCTTCGCCTAAGCCTAGTCGAAAATGTCTAATGCCCAGATTTTATCATTTCAAATATATCTTACTAATATTATAAATGCGATAAGATAGCTCAACGGATCTTGATGAAATTTGACACAGATGTAAAACATAGTATGAAAGTACACAATGCTATTTTTTTTTAGGATTTTTTTAAGCTCGCGCGGATGGAGTCGCGTGCAACAGCTAATATATTATAAATAGCAATCATAATAATGTAAAACAGAAAGTGCTGCGATTTTAGTGCTGTTTTTTTACCAACAGAGGGAGTAATGAGTGAAAGGTGAATACCTGGTGAGTCGTAGGTTCTGTGTTCAGTGCATTTATGATAACAGGATCACTAAATTCAGCTCGAACTGTTCTCAGGTGCACGATCAAGCAGCACACCAATGATAGAAGCCTTGTATTATACACGAACATTTTTCACGATCTGAAAATGAGAAAGTACCAAAAAAAATATTTATTACCACAATAAAGTAAGATTTTCAGAATCTTTTTCAATAAATGAACAATGAAAATGTGTTAAAAGTTGGCAAATTTATTTATGTATATTTTGTTGCCCGACGGGTGACAATGTTTTGAGAGTATGGAAGTATGTATGGTGCGTAGCATATTGAATAATGTAAGTACTACGTTATGTTTGTCCATTTGATTCTAACGTGCTATAAGTTACCGTCTGGGCAGATGAAGAGGATTTTTCAAGTATTTTACGTATTCATTCCCGTAGCGTTAAGGTACAGATAGTTGTTTTTTTTGTTTATGACTAGTTTAACCTGCGTACGCTAGTAAAAAAGTAATTATGAATGTTAAAATATGACTTTTTTATCTAAATTCATAGCCACTTCTTCAATTGGTTATTTGAGGTCGCATCATTTGATCTCTAGCATAGACAACTAGAGGCCACACACACTTAGAAAACACTTTTAAATTCTAATGGATGCAATGTTCTAAATTGAAGTGATAGATTAATTGCTTACAACGTTTAAGTTCCAATTATTTTAGGTTATAAATCATCTATGACACATTGCATTAAATGAGGATGCCTATTAAGGTAGAGGAAGAGCGTAGAATGAAAGAGGATATATGCAAGTCCGGTCCTAGAATTTCCCCTTCCTAGAGTAAAAAGGCCTGGATAATGATAAAATCATGAATGAATCGTATCGACCATCTTTGCTGGTTCCTGGCCTATCACCATTCACCATCTGCAGCTATGTCTATAGCCAGTCATCTATAAGCGCACTGTTGTGGAAATAGAAAAGCATTACTATGTAACAGCATCGTAAAAGTGTGTTTCGCTGCCCAGTAACTATTTAATTAGTATGCAATTGAGTTAAGGTCGCCTGAAAATAACCTTTCGTAAACATTTAAATATAACTATAAATGCTAAGATTTAAAAGGGACTCAAAGTTTTCAAGAATTGAATATTACTAAAATTATAAATGCCGAAGTTTAGATGGATGGATGAGTGTTTGTTAAAAGATATCTCCGGAAAGGTTCAACGGATCCTAATGAAGATCAGATATAGATCATAGCTTCTTATTAAGGTTTGTTTTAATTTCGTGCGGTCGGAGTCGCGGGCGACAGCTAGTCTTGATCTATAATGAAAACATTCCTGCAGATAAAATTAAACTTCTTACTTTAGAAATTTAGGGGATGAAATTTGAAAATACCTTACTTAGTGTTCGCCTACTGCTTGTTGTTTGGTCTGTGCGTTGATAGTTGTTTTTTCTTTCGGATGTTTAATAAAAATAATACCTTAACCATGTTTTTACGTTTATTAATTTTGATTAGATTGTTATTCGAAATTAATACCGCAATTAGTTCTAGAACCAAATTAAGGTTTCATAGGTAAATTGTAAGAATTTTTACAGTTAAATTAAATTGTGTCGAAATAAAAATCAATTATGTCTCATTACGTAGTCTACATACACCTATTGTGAAAATTCATTTATAAATTCGTAAATACATAATTTATGTAATTGTAATCTGACCAGAGCTGAAATTGATTAAACGAATTCAATTTTTATTTTTTATGATTAACGTAAATAAAACCATTAAACTAGTGCTTATTTATGATCTCATCTGATAATAAATGATGACGTAGTCGAAAGATTGTATGCCCTAGCTTAGTTGTACAGGTCAGTAAGTTTATAAATTGATTGATTTAGCAATCTGTCGGTAACTCGTGCAAATCTAACCCGAATATCGTATGTGATATCTATAATTAATATAAGTCTACGGCGAGTTTACTAATTGCCGGATATTGAAACAATTTACTGAGCGCTCTAAAAATATCATGGCATACATTGGATCGATACAAAAGGATTTGAATATAGTGTTACTTTCTATTTCTGTAGATTAAAGCTTCAAAAGTAGTCGCTCTATTCTAATTGCATGAACCTGGTTTTAAATGTATCTATCGAACGTTTCTTTTTAATGTTACTAATATTATAAAAGCGAATGTTCAGATGGTAGGATGGATAGGTGTTTGTTTGGAGGTATCTTTAGAACGGCTCCATAAATGTTGCTGAATTTGGCATAGATGTAGAACATAGTCGGGAAGAACTCATAGGCTACTAATTACGTTTATTTTTAAACGCAGACGGAGTCGCGGGCGATAGCTAGTTGGACATACATTGGAAATATAGTCTATTCTGTTTTTTAGCGCCAAACTTACTGTCTTCCGTAGCACGGCCGACTGTAGTTTAATGAAAATATTGTCCTGTTTAGTTAAGGTATGAAGGACAATCATACAAATATTAAATTTTATTTATATGAAATAATATAGATATACTTTGAACCAAGGATTATTATCATGTTATGTTGCAGATAAAAATTAAATAACGTGATTTTCTTGAACTTGTTTGTTCGTCCGTTTTTCTATTTGTATGTAAATTAACGAACAATGATTTTTTTAATTTCATTACAATATTAACAATTTTGAAACATTATTAAATTCATAATATACTGATATGACAATATTAAAATTCGAATAATCTGGTCATTTTATAAATCTATATATATTATATACTTAAACTTTTTAATTATATAAATCTTTAAATAATATTAAATTGGACAAAAAAGTCATCAATATGTATATAAGATAAGGTTAGGTTAAGTAAATAACAATGATTATATCCTCATTAATGAGATCATCTTTAGTTAATACCAATGATTTCTGAAAATACATTTAAGCTCAAATTACAATTAAATCGAAAGAGACTGGCAATAATTTAAATTTTAAATCTTATCGATTCTCAAAGGAATAAACGTAATATTAGAAAGAGCTATAATTATGACAATATTAAAATAGGTATGGATTTTTGTATTGAAAACTTTCGACAAGTTATTTTTACTTGACGTTAATACCGTCGGCTCACACTTTGTTATAACTATGCTATAACGGCAATCTTGTGAGCTTATCCGTAAGCATGAAGATGGTATCTCCTAATTTCAATGGTAAATGTCAATATCATTTAAATATCCGTTATTCAAATATAACGAAGAACAAGAATCGAAGATCGACCGATACATTGACTTGCATTTCTATTTTCGAACGTGAATATTTTTTTTTCTTATCACGAACAACGTTTAATCATACCACTTGGATTATTATTAATGTGTCAGTGATATTGATTTTATTACGTTTACGTTTTGTTTTATTTGCACACGCCAATACGATGCTAATAGTAATTTATCCGATTCAAAAGTGTCGGGCTTAAAAGACTAATAAAAAAATAGTTAAACACTTTTCCATTTTTTTAAACTAGCTTCTTCCAGCTACTTCGACCGCGCGGATTTAAACAAATAGCTATTAGTAGCCTATGTTTTCTTCCAGACTTTGTTTTTTATCCATGTAAATTTCATAGAAAGAAGGTATCTTCTAACAAACATCCATCCATCTAAACATTCGCAATTATAATATTAGAAAGTATACAAATAGATTCAGTTTTGTCTAGACGTCTTAACGTGCAAACATATTACATATTCATATAAGTATAATTAATTTACGAATGGACATTAATAAAAATGCATCGATGGCTTACCGGCTGGGACGGTGGTGCGCGTCGCCTAGACTCTGGTGCCAGTGACCTCCCGGCCCCGACTACAATCACGGCCGAGCACCGCTAAGTATGTAGATTACTAAAGCAGGTCTTTGCCTAGCGAGTGTTTGTTTAAGCTCCTGACACGACCGCTCGCCGCGACACTCCCCCTGACACTCGACTCCGTCCCTCCGTACAAGTTTGACATCATATTTTTGTTATTGTTTAACTCGATATGCCTTATTATGTCGTAGTCTGGGTAACAGGAAAATGTTGTATTATTTTATTTTTGCTTTTAAAAATCACCGGTAATGTTAACTTGGCTAAGTAAATGTACGGTTACAAGATATGCGCTCGCAAGCAGACTTACAAGTTAAATGTGACATTTGCTATAAAAATATTTTTATGAAGAAAACAAATGTTACCCTCTGATATGTAATTAATGACTGACCAATGTTTGACTTACCGGACTGACGTTCAAAGTATTTTTATGTCTTGATGACAACGACTTTTGATTTAAATATGTCCAAAGAGAATCTTGCTGTTTGCACTTTCTTACTGTGGCCATTAAGTACATATTAGCTAATCTTGGCATTAATAACAAATAGCGCTTAGAGGAGTGTCCTAGGTGGATTACCTACCTTCTTCCATTTTCTTAGTAAATGCTTGTAAGGATGTCTGATGCAATATACACTTAGTAACGCACATGTATAAAAAACGCCTGAATTTTTAAAATAGCTAATCCATCTAACACAAATTTCACTATTTTACTCTTTTTACGAATAAAATAAATAAAAATAAAATGAAATAAAATAGAAGTATAATTATGAATGTAGTTACAGATAGATACAGATATAAAGGAAACCTAAAAGACCAAACCAAGTTATGTTTTGTCAAAAGTGGTTAAAATCTAAATTACTAAGGATCACTAATTATCGACAGAAACGAGTCACTAGAGTTCTGTATTTCATTATGCACGTCTGGTCGTCGATGTCAAAGGTGCATCGTTCCGTTAGCACCTTTCCAATCATAAAATGGACGAAACGTGTTTTGAAACACAATTCGTTTGCTTTGATTTACAGGCTAATTATTTAAAAAAAACAATGGTACACATATTTTACAATTTTTTTTTATTTTAGCCTGAGTATCTCCGTCCGCCAGGCCGCGCTTGTCCAGAATGGCTAAACCGATTTTGATGGGACCTTGACGGGAAGATGGATGCGTGCGAGATATTATAGGTTACAAATTTTTTGTTCAGGCTGAAGAAGTCGCGGGTAACGGTATATAATATTTGATTCTTCATATAAAATTAATGTTTAATATTAAAGTAATCTGTGAATTATTCTCATTTAAGAAGTAGTCACACTTTAATTACCTTTAACTAGGCCAGTGAGTAAATGTTATTTCTGTATACTACCGTAACATTAAATATTTGTTTGAGCTACTGATAAATAATATAATGAAACTTAAGTCACTTACAAATAAATTATTTATGTTGTTGAACACTTGGGTCAAGTACCACGTATGATCACTTAAACGCAACGCAAGAGTTTTCGCTACAGAGACTGTTATTTGTCTACAAAAAAACAACATTTTAAACAGTTCAATGTTAAAATTTAGTCAGAGATTTCGGTGATTATTAAATATTTTGTTAATTCAATACTCGAAACGATGTAATAGAATCAAGATGTGATATCAAGATGACAATTGTTCAGCCCATTGAGAAAACTGCACATAACAATAGCACAATTATACAGGGAAAGAAAGGGAAATATCCTCTATGTGTGTTCTTCTGTCGAACGAACGCATTTGCAATTTTTTATATTATAAGAAAGTTCTTAAGTAGTTATACACATTTTATATAAAGACGTGTTCCTAAACCGTAACATAGGTTACAAACAGTTACTTCGTTGATATTGTACAGGGTTAAAGGAATTTCCTTAACGATACTAGACGGGTGTATTAAATATAATAGTTAAATGGAGAGCTGGAGTGAAGCGGGCGGGTTGACCTAGTGGTAGCGGGTGCATCGAAAGCGACAACGCGTAATGATAGTGGCAGGGAAGGTGGTCGGGATGTCGCACGAGCACGCGCCGGCATCGGCGATCGCGGCGCTGCGTACAGTGCGCGCGCACCTCGCCATGCGCACACGTCCGCCCTATGGCGCGTCGCCTGGCGCTGCTCGCGCTGCTCCCGCTGGCGCTAACATACGCGGTAGCTCTACGCTCGCCTGCCTTATCCAGACCCACTCACCATGCATACTCCGACTACGACTCCCTGGACCCACTCGACTGGGACGACTACAATACATACGAAACGTCCCCCGTTCCGAGATCAGATAAACCGAGTGCCAAAGTTATACTTAGGGGTCATGTTCCAAAAATTAATGTGTCTACAAAGAATAGCAAACGTGATGATAAGAATAAAGTGATTAAAACTAGCATTAAAATAGAGAGTTATACGAACATTATAGTGACTAAGTCGCCTCAAGTTATAAATAGAATTAAAGTGACAGCGGGCACGAAGGTTCCGCATAAGCCCACAAGAGTCCCCGTCCCTAACGGCTGGGAGGCAGAACTGTATCAAAAGCCGTCCTCAACTACGAAGCGGCCAACGGCGCGTCGATCTACGACCCCTCGTCGTGCGGCCACCACCGTGCAACCCACGAAGGCCACGCGCCGCCCTGTCGTCCCCACGGTTCCTACTCGTCGGCCGACGGCTTCTCGTCGACCGGCAAACAAGCCTCGCACGACGACAAAAAAGCCGAAACCGCTGAAAAATAAGAAGCCGTGCCCTCAAAAAAATGTCGGATGGCTGTCGTCATTTTTTCAAGAAAATGATTTGAAAAAATCGCCTAAAAAAGAAGTTAAAACAGGTTGGTTTGTAGGTAGGTTCTGTTTTTTATGTCGACAAGTTATCATAATTATAATTACATTTTAAAATAGATGATAACATTCAACGTGTTGGAGCAAACCAAGAAGCCAAGAAACCAAGAAGACTTCTGATGGTAAACTTCGTCTTAATATTCTGATTTAATCTGATTGTAATCATATTATGATTTTCGTAATGAAAAAATGTAAAATTGTGTGCGTAGGTCATATGTTTTAGTTCAATATCAAGAGGTAAGTACTTAATTGTTTCAATAAGAATTCCTTTGATTTCTAAAAATACATAATGGTACAGTAATGTTTAAATTCATAGTGGAATTAAAAATCTTTTATATTTTAAAGAAGAGTTATTAAACGGTAATTAATATACTTTGGCGTAGGGTTTGGTTATGTTGATAAAGAGAGCGTAACATTTTTATGAAATACATTTATTTTCAAAACGAGAAGATTAACACTGCCTTCTCGTGGTCAGAGGTAGAAAAATAATAAGTCGCCTGCATCCACTTTACGTAGAAACTTATTTAGACCGTAACGTCAGACACTACGTGCTAAACAAATCGCAGCATAATAATACTAAATAAATAGTAGCAGTACCTACTTAATAATACTGAAAACATTTAGCAGAAATCTCTATAATAAAAACAAATATAGTAACAATAAAAACATTAAATACTAATATTATTTCCATGTGATGTCCGTCTCCATTTACAAGCTTCATTTTGCCTTTATAATTCTATTGCGTTTATTCAGAGTCACGTCTAGCTTAGAGTTTCTTCATACAAAGTAATAGATAAGTTTTCTATTAAAATATTTATACCTTACAATCATGCAAGCTTTGTCTGATTGACGGTTTCTACTTTATGAGTGTAATTGTTGATGAGTCGTCGATTGAGATTTGTTGATAAATAACTAGTTTCCGTTTAACAATTACTTAGCGGTTAAGTCGCAATGCGGAAAATCGACATGGACAAGTTTCCTTCGGTGCGAGTTGACAGCCGTTGCCTGATCTCGCTTGTTAGTAACGAGCACCCTGCTCCACTAACTTATAAAGTTTCTCCTTTTAAAGAGGAAATATTTAAATTCTTATTTCTATCCATGTTATTGCTGCACGTGCTGTAATATTTTTTTCACAGTATATCAAATGATGAGTATCGAAATAGTATGGAATAATTTATGCCAGTTATAACGAATTAAATTGATACACAAATATTAAGTCTGGGTTTATTAAGAATGTCATTAATATTCTCCTTCTGAGCATCGATTAAAGGTTGGCAACGCATCTGCAACTGCAAATGTCTATGGGCATTTGTCACTTCGTTATTTCGGTGAATTTAGGTGGCCACTTCGCTCCATTGCTACCTTATGATATAAATGATCCTACAAGGGTTCCAATTTTTCCTCTAAAGGTACGGAAACCTAAAAAAAATATTGTCCACAGGTATATTCTCTTCAATATACAAATGGCTATGGGGTCGATCATCGTGGTTTGGTGGTGTATGGTTAGACGATACTCAATCGAAACAGTCATCTACCACATCGACAACTCCTGTCCCACTTACCACGTCCACTAATAACTGGTTCCAAGCCATGTTACATTCGGAAGAAAACGATGACACGCTACCTAGTCAATCTGGTAAGAACTATACCACATGCTTAGCCTTGTAGACAATGAAAGTGAAATTAAGATATTTTCACCACATACTTTTCTACTTTATTGCATTTTTTGCAAGCAATTCATTTTTACGATTACGTTTCTAACATTATTTGTACGCCAATTTAACAAGCTTTAAAATATTTTAGTCAAAAAGCCCGCAAAGAAATCTCTTAAGAAGAATTACAAAGGGTTTCAATTAATAAGAGCATATCCAGACGCGCAATGGAAAGTTCAGGAAATGTTAGATCTACAAGAAGAAGGCCAAGGCTCCGGCTTAATGTGGTGGACCTCACCGTCTTTAAATGGTTCTACAGATCTCTTAGTACCGCCTGATCTTCTTGAAGATGTGAGAGCTCATTTGAAATCGAATAAAATAGAATATGATGTGATAATTTATGATTTACAGGTAAGATAATTTGACATAAAAAATATCTATCACGGTCGTTGATTTTTATTTGTAAAAAAACATGTAAATAATAAATATTAAGAAATATATGAGTATTGTACCTTAATAACTTATTACAAAAAATACTAGTGCTTTGTCAGAAGCGTAAAATACGATAATTTAATAACCTCTGCTTTATTGTTAATGGTATTTTTCCACTCATTAATTATATTTCTCCTTCAATTTAGAAAGCAATAGCTTACGAGAACCCAAAACTGTCTAAAAAGCAAAGAATCGAACTTGAGCATCTTCGCGGTCACCCGATGACTTGGCGGCGATACCACCGCTATGCAGACATCCTTCGCTATTTGGAATACTTGCAACTTTCGCACACAGATATCGTGGAATTGGTGCCTTTAGGGCGATCGTCAGAGGGCCTACCACTAGTCGCTGTCAAGGTACTTCAGACCTCCCTTTTGATAAACCGGAAAAAAAAAGTTTTTTTTTTAATATTGAAATTATTTCGTATGAAGGTTTCTCTACCATCAAATGAAACACAAGCCAAAGAACTAGGAGGAAGGAGTGAAAAGAGATGGCGGCTAAAATCTTTTATGAAGCCAGCTGTTTGGTTGGACGGTGGTGCTCACGCCCGCGAGTGGATAGCGCCCGCAGTAGCCACCTGGATGCTACACGCGTTAGTGGAAGGCGAAAAAGGCTTAGGTTAGTTTAAAAAAGTTTATGAAATCAGAAAGTTTAGTTAGTAAGCTTCCACAAATTAAGACTTTTATCAATCTTATTCAAGACGAGGCCTATTTTTAAGAGTATATCTTTCTAAAAACATCTGAAGTCTTAATACATTTTTTGGAAAATGTAATCGTTTACATTAGTTGTCTTAACGTCTAACATTATATTATTTTGAGTCTAGAACGTTCTTTAACGTTGTTAGATGGACAAGTTATTCACAACAAAAAACGCCAGCTACAAACAAACAACTTTTTGTGGATCTTACCAGGACTTAGACAAGCCGTAGCCTTGAAAAAGTTTTTAATTTTTTTCTTATCCGTCTAAATTTAGTTTTTTAATTCAGAAAGTTTCATGCCAGGTTTGCTTGATTTTTTTTGCTCAGGTCCTGATTACGAGTTGCTAAAAATGGCGGACTTTTACATCTTGCCAGTATTGAACCCTGACGGCTATGAACATTCGCATACACATGACAGATTATGGATGAAAACGCGTTCCCGCTTCCAAGATCGTTCTGATGATTACTACGTAGGCTGGTGAGTTTTTATATCACCCATATAAACAAATAGTGAATAAGATAAAACTCATAACAAGACATTATTTATCCCCCATTCATCAACCGCTTATTAATAAGATAAGTATATTCATGGGCGTCGTGAAGGGAGGGCGGGGCAAGGCTGGGCAGCCCCCTTTAGAAAACCGAAGTAAATTACAAAATAGATTTATAATCTTCTGCAAAATACTACGATACTTACAATACCATCATTAGATAACTCAAAACTACTTCTCAACTTCGGAATAAAAAAAATAAACGATAGATATAGGCCGGTGACTTTCTTGTCTATGTTACTTAATAGTCACCGGTGAAACTGGCAGCTCTAACGGAAACTCTAAAGGAAAATTTTATCTGTGCAACTTGAAAAAGTGAAATAATAAAAAAGAAAGTTAATATTTATGCAGTAAAGTTAAATATGGTTATCGACGTTAGTCATAAGTTTATATTGTGGGTTTTACGTGGCCTTAAAAGGAGCAAGGAAAATGTCATTGGCTAGCAGAACGTACAACTGGTTGCACCGGATACTAGTTATTTAAAATTAAAGGCTTTTCCAACATAAACGAGAAAGCGAAGTTTTGAAAAATATACATGTATGTATGTCACTTTCACTAAGAAGTGAGTCAAAGGTTTCCTTTATAGGAACTGAATTATACACCCTTTTTTATCTTTATCACACAATCTGCAAATATTATCAAATATTTATACATGTTCTTAAGATCATGTATTATAATAGTGACCAAGTATTTTTAATTACGAAACAGATAAAAAAATCCTATCCACCTTAATTTAAAAAAAAAATTAAGGTGGGCGGAATTTACTATGTTCTAAATTTAGTAATTTGATTTAATCATTGCAATACTAACAAATGTAACATACGGTTCAGGTTTCCGTGGAACTGGGGCAGTACTGAGTGCGTGGGCGTGGACACAGACCGCAACTGGGACTACCGCTGGGGCGAGATGGACTCGTCGCGAGACCCCTGCGAGGATAACTACGCCGGGCCTCATCCGTTTAGCGAACCTGAAACCAGAGCTGTATCGGAATTCCTTGCTGAACATAGAGGTCAAATAAAGGTAACTATTAAAATCAATCTTTTTAATATTATAAATGCGGAAGTTTAGATGGATGGATATTTGTTTGATCTTTGTATCTCCAAAACGGCTCAACGGATTTTCTTGAATTTAGCTCACTCATAGAACATAGTCTGAAAGGACACATAGGCTAGTAATTAAGTTTTTTTTAAATTACGCGCGGACGGAGTCACAGGCGACGGTTAGTATTTTATAACTTTGTTTAGTTTGATCTTTCAATGTCGAAGAGGCGAGAGTGGGGTGCGTGTACTTAATGCTTAAGTAAATAATTATCAAAAGCAGTAAAAAAGGCACGAAATATATTTTCAGTTTAAAGTAATTACATATAAATAACCACTATTATTTTACAACTAAAACTTTTTGTAGGTACACAAAGCAAGAACGCTATGACGTCATTATACTATCTTATTCTAGTCATTGTAAACAGCTTCATACAAAAAAAAATGGAAAGTTTATAGAAATATTATATATGCAAATGTTTAAACGGTTTAGTTTTTTTTTTCATTATTAAATGTTAATTTCGCCTCGAGATATACACTTATTTTGACCTCATTTGTGCCGTTAAAACGACATATGTAGAATTTTTATTTTTAAGCAATAGATATAAAAGATCGCACTGTTTTTTTACATTAATTACGTCACTTTTGAGATGCTAACGTAAATTCAATGCGATGACATTGCTAACTGCAAAGTCTTTCAATTAAATGTAAATGTTTTATAAAACTGTCAATTTGGTGTTTTTGGTACCAGATAAGGTGGTGTCAAATATTAAATTAAAGCTATTGAGAACTTTTAACACACTTTATTAGACCTGTGAAATGTGTTACTATCTATTTTAACGGAATCTTTAGATAACATTCACTTTATCAAGATTAAAAAATCAAAGTGTCAAAAATTTGACACTTTTTTTTATAACCGAAGGGGACGAACGAGCTGTTCGAACACCGAGGTGATCAACGACGAAGCGTTTCCGCCATTTCGCTTATTGATTACTTTAAAAAAAAAGATAATTAGTAAACGTAGTATTGGATATTCTACAAATGTTATGTGAAATAATTGCTAAATACTGCTATCTTTATCGTGTTAAATATATTATAATGAATAAGCATAACATTCAGGTAAAATCTAATAAACATCTCAGTATTTAACTGCATGTAGAATATAAATAAACATCAGTTCTTTTTTGAATAGAATCCAACTAAATAAAACCACTCAAATTATTCCACACATTGAATGCATTCTTCTTGTAGACTTTCGAAAATCATGTCAACTTTTACCGACTATAAAAGTCCCATACTTTATTCTAACAGTACACTTACCCTGATGAGATTCTGCGGTCGATTTCTGCCTCAAGAGACACGTCATATTTGACAACTGCAATGCATGAACTTTGTCATGTAAATTGCATTATGTTTAAGTCACAACAATCGTCTTTACCACAACATAAAGTTATCTTCACGACACAACAATTGCAATTCTCATTTCACCTGCGATGCGTTTCGAAAGACGACAGCAATAGTAGAAAACGACGAAAAAGTTCAAAAATTGTGGCTTTGTCTTTAAGAATGTCTCCAGACTAATTAATTAATAGTTGCCAGTATACAACTTATACATTAAATATATTTTTTTTGTCAATAAAACTACATATGTTTTAACTCTACCAATATTTGGCTTTGATCGATCATAGATTTTTTTATCATCTATTCTATTTGTATAAGCTTGATCTTAAGTCTTCTTTTCGCCCGACTGACAGGAAATACTTATGATAAATTTATTACGGTTCTAATGTTGTTATATTCTTTTCAAGGTATATTTATCTTTTCACGCTTATACTCAAACGTGGTTAACTCCGAGTACTGAGGCCCTAACATCTTACGGTGACGATGGCATTATGATGGAGATGGGAAAACTAGCTACAGCCGCACTGGCTGATATGTATGGATCTAAATACCAGGTACTTATATAAAAATGTACCTTCTAATATAATCTTGATTTTTTTTATCTTCTTGTAACTGTCTACAGGTTGGAACAGCTGCAGAGTTTCGTAAGCCGGCATCTGGCATGGCACATGACTGGGCCAAAGCTCGCGCAGGCATCAAATTTTCCTACCACGTTGATTTGCGCGACTCTATTGGACGACACGGTTTTTTGCTGCCCGGTTCGCAAATCGTACCCACGGCGCGCGAAACCTGGCAAGCGGTCAAAGCGATTGTCGATAATTTAACGCCCGGATAAAAAAACTTGTCGGTTTCTAGATATCTGACACACTTATTGAGTTCTAGAAACTTATAGTCATTCGGAATACACTATTGTACATGAAAGAAGGTTTTATGCGCCTGATTATAAACTGGTTGGAAGATATTATTAATCACGTGAAAGACTTGAATTATTGATAATAAGAGAATTTTGACTTGATATGTTCTTTTTAAAATGTTTGTGTCCTGGCAGTTTTTATAACGGTATTAGACTTGAAATAAAAGAATTGGTGGGAATAACTCGGAAGGAAATTGTACTGCAAATTTGCTCAAAAATGCATTTAAAATGTAATTATAAGACATGATACCTTAAAGGTAATTGTTAGGAATAAGTTATTTTTAATTGTACTAACGTTTATTTTTTTAATGGGAGAAAACAATAAAAAAATGGTACCGATTAAGAAAAATTGTTTAATTTTGTAATTATATGATGACGTTTTCCTTGCTTTCTACAATAATAACGATAACCTGTATTATTCATTATTAAACTAAAACTGGAAATATTGCACCTAAGTAATATTAACATGATTGAATTGGGGTTAAGGCAGTAAATACACACTTAGGCTCTCTTCGTTAGCAACATTATATTGTTTAACGAATTGTGGACGACACTAGATTGGTTTGATCTCCTATAAAAGCATGTTGTATTTCGTATTACTCTTACTTGTATTATTAATGCGAATGTATAAATGGATGTTTTTAGAAGGTATCTCTAGAACGGCTGCTGTTCGCTGAAATTTGTCATAGATGTAGAACATATTCTGGAAGGATACATACGCTACTATTTTTTTAACATCTTGTGGATGGAGTTGCGGGCGATAGCTAGTATTGTAATAAAGGTAACAACTGAATAGAATTACAGTGGCGGAATACCCGAGGGAGTGTAGAAAGTACGTACCACAATTTACATGTGTAATATAGGAAAGTGCGTAACGCTGTGGTTTATGAACCGTTATGTTCTTATTATCAAGGTAAGCCGTTTTATACTTTTATCATTTTTGTAACAATTTTTTATGCCCGTAAGCCAATTAGGTGGGATTTGTGTCTATACTTTCGTTTTAAAAAAAATGTATTCAACACAATTAGCAGAAAAGTCTTACAAAGTTCCTCAGAAAAACCGCTTAAGAGTTATCATTGCAGTTCTTATTGTGGGCGGTTCTTCTATGGGCGTGGATGATCGCCGCGATGTTCTAATTTTACTAATTAGTAAATGCGATTGTTTAGATGGATCGATGTATATTAGAAGGTATCGCCAGAACGGCTCCATGATTCTCGCTGAAATTAGGCATAGATGTAGAACATAATCTGGAAGAACATATAGGTTAATAATTAAGTTCTTTTTTTTAATTTGGCGCGAAGAGTCGCAGGCAACAGTCGGTTTTAAAATAATTGACTTAAGACTAGATGGCATAGTTTTTTATTGTGTGAAGGAATAGCATCGACATTGAATCTTAATATTTTCTATGTTCTTATTTAATGTATGTTCCTATACGACGTATGAACAAGACCGAAAGTGATAATCGAGGTTAAGCAACGTTTTACGGTCATCTTTTTGGCTAACCGCTCAAGTGGCAACTAAAGACGAGCGCTTTTGTATATGAAGATCTAAAAAAAGTTATAACAGTATGACATAGATATAAATTTAATATAAAATTATCTTATATTTTATATCACAGTGGTATAAAGATAAATTTCAGCGAGGTACAAGAATTGTTGTATTTTGAAAAGTGATAATTAAAATTCAAACGATGCCTTATTTAGATAACTATGTTAATTACTTTCGCTGCTGTCTGGTATAACTTAACTTTAGACAATAAGAAACTTTCTCTGTCATATAAACAATTTAACAAAGAAATTAATTTTTAATGACACCTAATATTGGTGAAAAAGCACTGGAAAATTAAAGACCAATTCGTATTTTTTTAAACACCCGGAAAAACCTAAAACGACATAGACCTTAACAATTTAACATCTATAGCTGTCGCCTGCAACTCCGTCCTGGTGAAATTAAAAAGAATGAAATAAAAAAAATGTGTTCTTCCCGACTATGTTCTATATGCATGCCAAATTTCACCGAGATACGTTCAGCCGTTCTGGCGATACCTTCCACCAAACACCAATTCATCCATCGATCTGAACATTCGCACTTATAATAAGGTTTTGTATTGAATTACGTATTAAATAAAGCAGGATATCTACTAATAAACCTACAACAGGTTTTGAATTGACTTCTCGCGCCAATGCTATTTGATGTTATGTTGATATTTGACCATTTGTGTTGTTAATTAAACAAAAATCTACATGTGTAAAATATGCGTTATTCTGTTCTGTAATGCATATTCGGCATGCCTCATAAAACATCTTCCGAATTATTATACATTTTTCCCACGTAGTTTACACACACCACATTTCACGTAATTATCTTACACCAACTTAGAATTACATCGTCACATCCGCATTTAAAACACGTTTAGTAGTTGCTATAATATGTTTCAGTGTTTTGATTTTAATCCTATCTGGGGAAAGTGAATTAGTGAAATACGATTGCCTTACTTAAAGTTAATGCATAACTTACTTTTTAATGATTCTACAGCTTTTTACATAATAAGGAGCATACCCAGGCAACGGGTTTGAACAATGTCTTCTGTTTGTACTTATGTTCAGAATAATTGCAGCCCTACTGAAAACGAACCCTTTACATAATATTTCCGTACACTGAGGTTACTGTGGTTGCCATACCGTTTTACGTCAATTGTAATAAATAATGTTTCTAGACAGATTTTACAAAATAATGCAATGAGAACATCTTGTCCAACAGATCTTTCATAGATACCACTACTGTAATATTATTTTCTCTAATTATAATGTTTAATATGCTAAAGTATGAAAGTTAATTACTCGTCGTACGAAAGTACGAGTAATCTTTGCTAATTGAGGGGTTATCCGATTGCTTTAAACTACATTTATTTATGTGAAGATTGTTTATAATTGTACATATTACAGGAAAACTGAACGAACTACTAAGCATTTAATGAAATAGTTTTTTTTAATAAATAAACCTTCGTAGTTTTTTATTATGAAATTAAACTTATATGTGTAAACTAGAGCTGATAGCTACTTGATTTGGAAAATAGAGCGTCAATTTACAAACCATGAAAAACTCGTGTAGGAACAAATAGTTAACAAATTTTGCTTATAACTAAAAAACCATTTGTCACTGACAGTCAATTTAACAGTGTAAAGTCATTAGACATTGACATTTTATTATTTTGATCAACATCAACAAGCCATTTGAACTGTGATTGAATTACATTTGCAGCAATTTTTGCCTGATTTTCGTTGTTAAGAAGCTTAAACCAGTGAAATTATCTGCATTTTAAATATGGATACTGATGAAGGCAAAGACTCTGCAGTTATAAATGACAAAATAAATCCAACAGAATTTGACGTAACCATGCATGCATTATTAGTAGGTTTAGAAGCGGAAAAATACGTCGATATATTCAGGTACAATTAATAAATTATATCTAAACCAATATTTAAAACCGAAATTAAATCTGGATTAATTGTTTTTAGAAAAAACAACATTGGACAATGTACGCTCATGGAATTAACCGATGAAGATTTGACAAAGTTAGGGGTTGATGAACCAAGCATTCGACAAAAACTTCTTGAGGAAGTTAAAAATTTACCTATCTACGATGAATGTAATTGTAATGTGTAAGTGAAAACTGTAATTTTATATTAAAGTGTCAATATTTCTAAAAAGTTAATGGTAGTTAATTTTATTATTTTTACAGAAAATTAATACCAAATTTAGGAGCAATAGAAATTGTGGATATCTTAGAAGAAAGTTCTCAACATTTATATAGAGTTCATTTAAGTGTGCTAGCAAATACATTGGCTGTTAAGAAAACTAAAAAGATTTCAGATTGTATATTATATAAAGATAAATATGCATCAGACATAGCAATTGCTACACTAAGCGAAATAACTACTATTTTAAATTCTATGGATGTTGCACTACATACTCATTTTAAGGTAAATAAATAATAATAAGCATCTTTTCTTTCAAATATTTTTTTTATGTTTCTACTACAATCTCATATTTAATAATCCAACAGGATTTTTATTCAGTTTTAAGTTTGTTATACATTGTGGACACAGTTTAGTGGTTGTTACCAGAAAATTTTAATATTCTTACAATATGGTTACTATATTTTTTATTACATTATTAATACAACAAACATAACATTTCATTAAAAGGATATAAAAATAGCTTAAGTGCTAAAATAATCTACAATTTCTTTTACAGACACTAAACCAAGAAATAAGTAAATCGAGGAATAAGAAGATTCTTGTTGGAGCTATAGGGAGTGCAGTTATCGCTGTGTTGACGGCTTTATTTGTGAAATCAATAAAAGATCTCAATTAGGTGTATTAATTTAATGTGTAACTGATTCATGATCTTCCTAACGCACCTGGACATCATTTAATATGTTATCTAAGACTGAATTTGTTAATTATCTATATAGAAACCCTAAAACCGAAGAAATATAATTTTGTTAAAGATAACTTTGTTTTCCTTGATATTGTATTTAATAGTAGGTTTTTTTTTTTAATTTTGAGCAAAAATATTATTCCTAGTTTGATCAATTTCAGAGATGGCTACATAGAGATAGTAAATTGTTGCTTTTCTATGTAACCTTATTTGAAATTATCATAAGTAAATGGTTATTAAATATAACAAGATTTTGTTTTAAGCTCAAATTTTGTTGAAGAAAAATATATGCAGAAAACTCAATAAAACAAGAATATAAAGCTAAAAAGCTTTCAACGCATCTGCGGTAGCTCTGGTATTGCTGATGTCCATGGGCGTCGTTGAACACCTCGGTGTTCCCGCTGGTCGTTTGCCCCCTTCTGTTATAAAAAAAATGTATGATTTATTTTACATTCTTACAAAATTAAAGAATATTAGAAAAAGGACATACTTTCTAAACATAAGTCTACAACTTAAATTATCACATACTATATGTATTTTTAATTCTTTTGTTATTATAATTACTATATTTAAAACTGTGTTTCTTTCTTTGATCACACATATAAGTATTTTTTGTTTCAATATTTTTAAGTGTTAATGTCAATGTTAGATTTTCATCGATTTTCAAGAAACTTAGCCATGTTATATTTTATTATGTGACGACAAGCAATATTTAGCTATAACTTATATATCTTTAGTTGTATACAATAATTGAAATTTGGGTCAAAGGAAACCGCCACTGTATAAAATCGAATGCAAATGGATAAAAAAATGGATCGTTTCCCAGTTTTCACAAAGTAAATTCAACTGAAGTGACCCAATTGTTTCGACCTCACCAATTAAAAAATATAAGGTAAACTGTAAGGGCGGCAATTTGTTGTAGTAACAATGCCGGACGAGATCTTTGCACACTTTTTACGACTATCTGTACCAGTATGCGTTATTTGAAACATTTGTTAATAAACTTTTATACAATTCACAACACAAAGATTGTTGTTGACATTCACCTATTTATCTCGCGATGGATACATATTTTGTGTCTTCGTAGTCAAGTATAATAATTGGCAAGTAGGTCTGAGTTTATTCGCCTGTTCTGTGTGCAGGTTATCTTAAATCAAGACCCATGTTATCATAGGTTTCGACAGGACAGTCTCTCAGATTTTAGTTTGGGCATGAGGGTAACCGCTAATCTGTAAGCGGCGAGCGGGCATTGTTTGAGCGGCGGCGGGCGGGCGTGACGTCACGGCGGAGACCGGGCGCTCCGGAAGCGGCCGGGAACAGCGGCGGTGGAGTCCCGCGCTCCCTGGCCCAACGCCGACGTCGTCCATTGCCAACGAGCGCGCCAATTGAATCGCGTGTCCGCTGCGTCCGCTGCGACTGCTAAGATCGCTCAGTGTGCGTTCGCGCCGAAATGATATATTTTGGACCCTCTTATGTGTGTCATAAAAGTATTTCATTATATAATAAATGGTAACGTGAGATCTTTTGCAAGATGCGTCGAATAGACTTGCTTCTGGTGGCGGTTGTGTTACTTAAAAGTTTAAATGCGCAAGAGGAAATTATTACAGGTAAGTGATATTCCGTATTGACAAGCAGATAACCCAAGATGAAGAATTACGCGCTACTTAACAATTGTTTTGCGATTTTTAAAAAAATATTTGTAAGCAGATTAATATTTTTGAAATTATTCGCGCCTTAACTTCTAAAACTTTGAGGATTAAAAAGTTTTTCATATAATACTTTCAAGCTGCTTACATTAGTATTTTACCGATAAATTACTATTTTATAAAAAAGATTTGGTGATAATACTGTACAAATTATGTATTTTGTGTGTTTACAGTGCAACGACTGTAAACACAAACACAAACACAAATATTTTGCTGTGTCCCATAATATTTTTAAAGTGCATTCTCTACCTGATGATTAATGACAAGGATATGAGTGTGTAGATTTATGACATCCAGTCGTATGCAATCATGTACTCTGTAATCTACGAGCCTTTGAGTGAGAATATTTTTATTTCTAATCAATTAGATGAATACTTTTTACTTACATGAAATACTAAAAATTTTATACTGTAAATTAAGTTTTTGCTTTTAATCTTTTTAATAGAACTTAGCCCTTTAGGCACAAAAGACACATTTCTTTGTGATCAGTTTCCCAATTCCCAAATTAAATTTAACGTTTCTAAAGTCTAGTCAAGATTATTTTGTGACTCACTAATATTTTGCTATCGCAGACCTTAGAAAATCTTATAAGTGATAAAAGGAGCAAAGGACAATGGGACCCTTAGTGTTAAGAGATGGCTGACGCCCATGGACATTGGCACTAGAAGAACCAGATGCTTTGCTAGCCTTATTGTAGGTGACTATGTGATTTTTGCTAGTGGAAGCTGTGGTGGGGCAGAGCACGGAGCTGCCGTGCAACGTGACAGCAGAAAACGAAGGAGATATACTCAGGATCATCGCCTGGTACAGAGATGGCTCGCCCACAGCATTCTATAGGTGATCAATTATAATTTTGGTACCTTGATACTTGAACTGGTCTTAATGACGGTTTCTGTTCTGACCATTGAAAACTAAAATGCGGGACTTTGTGTGTTCGATAACTAAATTCATCAATAGAGATTTTTAGTTTTGTTAGAGTTGTTTAGTAATCAATAAATGTTCTTGTGAAAATAAACTATGAGAAATCTACACGACTCAGTGTAACAGAAGATAATCTGTTTTTAGTTACCACAATACGAGGGATAATGTATACTTAGCAAGCAGGTAATCAGCGGCGCAGTTCATATGTAGGTAGTTGGCTTCGTCACGCAAATCACTTGCCGCAGCTCGTGTCATCCGTAATACGATACAAGTGAACACTCACAGCTAAAGTATACACTTGATACTGCTCGCATGCAACACGGAGTGCGATTGCATATAGACGGCGTTTTATGTAGCGACTGTATATCTTACAGATGTAGGCAGGAAAAATTAATGGCTTGCATCAAACGATTCACGCCAATATTCGATTTGAGGTTTCGAATCTATGACCTAAATATTAATACTGTTATTCGTATTTTTATGAGAGACAAGAGTCGCACGTATAGTTCCTAATTGAAGAAAGTGTCTTATAACATGTTACAATTATTAATATATTTTAACTCGGGCGTGGCCAGCAGTCGCGACCTGCGTGGCGACAATAGCGACGTGCTGTCCCCTGGCGGTCGCTACAAACTTATCACCTCGGAAGACGAGACCGAAGAGCGGCTGCAGATCCTCGCTGTGCGACCGTCTGACGCCGGACAGTACTACTGCTTCGCCGACTTCGAGTCGAGTCGCGCACACAAAACTTATATCACATTGGAAGTTATAGGTAAGTCATACATGAGACAACGTACGTTGTGTTTTATATGCCATCGGCAAGTATCTCGACGCCTAAATATTGAATACATAAGTACTTAACTAAGGCCAAAAACTACGCCAATGAACAAACAAATAGGCAACATTAATTTAACTGTAGCATTTACTTAATTTGTAGTTAAAAATAAATTGTTAAAAAAGTTAATTGTATATAAGTGCGGCGCGCTTATTCATCGCGAACTAAAATAGCGGTCCCGTAGCCGCTACGGCATTAATTGGTCCGCGAGCATAATGAGGAAGCTGACAGCGCCGGAACAATTCACCCCATTTACAGGCAATTACGCCACGTAAACATTGCATCATGTTAAGGTACCGCCACACAGACATTATTACAGGTGTTGTGGACATTTAAAAAAACTATACACAAAAATCTGCACTGATTAGGAAAATGTATAATATAACGGTAAATTAACCTTTTACTTACAACTTACATAGCTAAACCACAAGTGTTCATTTTATCCAACCCGAGAAACAAGTCTTCATCATCAGTTCACTATACGTCCTCGCTCCGGGGCTTGGAGCCTACCCCAAGTTATGAGACCCTAGGCCATAGTCTATTATGTTGACCCAGTTGAATTTTGGCTTTGTATAACATAATTGAAATGTTGAGGTAGAAGAGAAGAAAGATTGGCGTCTTTGTCTTTTACCCCAATCTAACGATATAATTAATCAGTAATCCACTTTTGAATGTAATATCTATCAAGATTAAACAATATTTATTGCTTTAAGAGTATTTAATGAAATATGATATGTCCAATGAAGCCTGTGGCTGAAACAATATATGTACGTCAGGGTCTGATTGTTTGTCTGGATTGACTATTGTAAATAATAATAAATACACACGTCTACAAAACTTGGTTGTTATTTAGCATCACATGAAACATTTAAAGTAAGCTATTGTTGTTACATTTCTTTAAAACTTTATCTAGAGCCGCCTCAGCGTTTGTGGGTGATTCACGAAAACGGGACGCGCGTGACGACGGCCAGCGCGGGCGCCAACACCAGCAGGAACCTCGGGCCATACTACGTCGGTGACACCGTGCATCTATTCTGTGTCGTCTTTGGAGGTATTTAAAATTGTTTTTTTTTTAGTATTAAAAGCGCTGTATCTTGACCAAATTTAGCGATTTTAACGAGTGTGGTGGTTACATATGATGATAAACAGTACAAATTTATGAAATAATAATTAAAACAATAGACGTAAGGTAAAACTGTTGTGTTAATGTTTGTGCCAATGTTTTTGAATATTATAATACCTACTTCCATACATGAGAAATAATACTAAGACATTTAATCCATTCAAAGACATTACAACATTTATAACACGATTAAAAACTCAAAAAAAATTAAAATACGTAATCCAAACCCTTCACAAAAAGGAAGTAGATATATTTTTGAGTGAAAGACCGGCACAAACTGGCTAATCGCTGTGACAATGACCTGGCAGAAGATGGGCGGCGTCCGGCGCGGCCAGCTGACATGACGTGACGCGTCAGCTTCGTGAATGTGTTGACAATAAATTACATTATCACCTCCCTCATTCAAATCACGTTGTTAACTAACTTATATGTACGTACCTACCCACCCATTCACATACGATTGCTTCTACACCAATACTTAAGAAGAAACTTGAGTATACCGAAGTACAGTGAACAGTTTGCATGAAATAACTTAAGACTTTGTTTTCACATTATCTTGGCTAATTTAGGTATCGATCTATTGCTTGTATTGTGTAAGGCAAGCCGCAGTCGTCGCTGTCGTGGTGGGCGGGTCCTCGGCTGCTGAAGAACACCACGACGCCGCTGTCGGAGCAGCGCGTGCGCGGCGACCTGCTGTACGGGCCCCTGCGACGCGAGGACCACGGCCGCCTGCTCACCTGCCTCGCCAACAACAACGACAGGACTCCGCCACTCTCCATTGACATCACTATTGATATGTATCGTGAGTACTCATTTCCTATTTTAGTTATTGTTTACAGAATGTAGCTTGTATAAACTATATGTTTGGGTAAATTGACTGTGCAAACTTGTATCCTGTGCTGAAAAAAGAGAGATTTACTGCAACCAACAAAAGAAGTGTTAATTTAAGCTAGGGTATCATCTTAAAGGATGGTTGTGTCAAGCACCTCCAGTACAATAAAATGCTTATGTACCGCAGTACCGCCGGAGCTGGTGATGATGCGGGTGAGCGGGGAGGAGGGCGAGGCGCTGTCGAGCGGGCGCGTGCGTGCGGGCCGGCCGCTGCGCGCGCAGTGCCGCGTGTTGGGCGCGCGTCCGCCGCCGCCCGTGCTCTGGTGCCTCAACGCCACACAGATACATAACCTCGACCAGAACATCACCGTGAGTGTGGCTTTACTTTATCCGATGATATAAAGTCAAATTTCATATGATTGTCCAGTTATGTAAAATAAGCAGTAAACTTGCAGGTTTTGAATAACTCCATCTTTACTTTACACTTACCTTCTGTTCTATTCGGGTTTTAAAATGGACAATAAAGAGGAAATTATGAAGTGTATCAAATACTAAGAAGTTGTATTATATATGTTTAGCGAGAGCCGGCGCAGCGGCTGGTGGTGAGCGAGGTGCAGCTGTCAGTGAGCGCGCAGCACGACGAGGCGCTGCTGACGTGCTGCGCGCCGGCCAGCTCGCGCACCGCTCCCCGCCTCGTCTGCGCTCAGCCACTGCCGCTCACTGTGCTCTGTTAGTGTCTCCATACTTACTACCCATAGTACAACAGACTAAGTGATGGCGTAATACGGCAACGCATCTGCGGTTCCTCTGGTATTGATGTCCATGGGCGTCGTTGAACACCTCGGTGTTCCCGCTGCTCGTTTGCCCCCTTCTGTTATAAAAAAATACTTGAGCCTTTAACTCAGTACAGCTTAACTACTTCTAATCCAGAAGTTCATGCCAGCAAGATCTTATATATTACTTCATACGTTCACGTCTGGGTACGAGAAGTACAGTCACAAATGAACAAATACACAAAACGCTCGTATAGGATAGCTACATTAAGGGCTTATTACTTTTGAAACTGAAATATCGTAACTTTAATTACAGATCCTCCGCAATTACAAATAGTTGTGGAGGGAGAAGTGGAGAACAACACTCTGACTGCTGTGAAGGGCACCAATTTGACCATCAACTGCAGCTACGAGGCAAACCCGTCCGTGTACCAAGTCACCTGGTTCCATGGGGTAATCTAACACATTGTAGAAAATAATTTTACGACATAAAATTCAAATTTATTTAAAAAACGCTTCATTAATACTTACATTTATATTTAACTTTAATCTTGATCATACTTTTAAACCAACAATAACACCCTTTAGTGATTCTTACAGGATGATCTGGTGAACCAGAAGTACGATCACGAGGAGTCATCGATCAAGCCGACGTTAGAACTGAGGGAGATATCAGAGTCTGATGCGGGGGAGTACGTGTGCGCCGCCACCAACAACGAGGGCTCTGCGTACAGTGACCCCATTCTCATTGATGTCACTTGTAAGAATATTTTACACGTTCAATGCCACTATTCTTTTCACTTACTAAAGTAAACTCGCATTCGCACGCACCGAAGGCGTTTGTTCACATTCATGTTGCATTTTTAACCTAATCCACGGTGATAATAAACTGTATATTATAGAAAACTACTTCTCGCGGAATTAAAAATATAACTTATTTAGTAGTTTATTAGTTCTTCCAGACAGCCTAGGCTGTTCTCTAACTGTGCCAAATTTCAGTCAGATCCATGCAGCCGTTCTGGAGATACCTTCAGACAAACATCCAAATATGTAAATTCTAAACATTCGTAGTTATAATATATTAGTACGATTAAACATTACGATACTTGTTGGCAAAACAAACTTGGGTACAGATTATACACTATAGTCCACGTTTTTTTTTATTTAATAGATTTTGTATACTTTAGACCCAGCGTATTGCGAAGATGAAACGATAGCAGAGTACGGCGTGGCAGAAGATGACAGTATAAACATAACATGCAGTGTGAGATCAAACCCAGCGCCGAGCTCGTACCGCTGGGCATTCATCAGCGAGACGATGGACGCCAACAAACGTCGCAACAATCAGACATACAACGTCGAGACTGAAGAGTCCACGCTCACGTACAGAAGACCTAATGACACCTCCTATAGTAAGCATAACTTTGTTTCAGAGGAAGTTTCAAAGTAGCGCCATTGATGGAGAAATTGTGAAGCAGAAGGTTTGGGCATTTTATGCGGAGATGATGATCACATAGCCAAAAAGTAAATGAGATTGAATGTAAATGGCTACAAAGGTAGAGATAGACTAATTAAATATGACGGCTGGTAAAGATGGAGGAGTAGTGTATACCGTCCCAACCCCCCGTAGAGACAAGAGCAGGTTGTGGGTACAAATATGTTATACCTACATAATTGTTTTAATTGTTTCAGCATTGATACGTTGCTGGGGTCTGAACAATGTGGTGGGTAGCGGCTTACCGCAGACCAAGTGCTCCTTCCTGGTCACGGACGAGACCGCGCCGCGCCCGCCCTCCGCCTGCAGAGCCGTCAAATATGAGAACGAAATCACTGTCACTTGTGACAAGGGACATGATGGTGGCTTGCAACAGGTTAGTTGGCTGTTAAACTACACCACAGTTTACTGGATAGATATAACTAGTAAATTATATTACTACTAAATTCTTTCAGAAATTCAAATTCAACGTATTTTCTTCGGACTCCGAGGAACAAACTCTGTCGATTATAAATCAAGAGCCTAAGTTCATAATTCAAGAGCCGAAAGAAGAGACGTATAAGTTTGTCGTGGTAGCGTTCAACGCTAAAGGAGAGAGCAGTACAGTCGAGATAGACAAAGAGAGCATTATTGATGAAACTGAAGGTAAATTGTGTATTTTTAAATACAGTGTGCATGAGGATTTAAGTCTTATTTATAATGCTTCCATAAACAATAAAAATAGGTGAGATGGGTCCAGTGAGCGCGGTGAGCAACATAACCGCGCTGGCGCTGGCACTATGCGGCGGTGTGCTGCTGCTGGCGCTGGCGGCGTGCGGCCTCGTGCTGTGTGCGCACGAGCGCGGCGCCCGGCACGACCTCCCGCGCGCGCACTCAGACCCCCCACTCTGCGCCTATAGCACTGAGGGTATTCATTTACTATCCCTTTTTATTAACCTACCTCATCGTGTATACAAATGGGAAACATTTCACATTGCATATTTCATACATATATTTATGAATACTGAAGACTAAAATGGCATTTTCTTCGTTATCAAAGAAAAGGGTGTGACACATATAGATGTGTTGCTGAAAATTTTATTAGTCACGTATTTCACATTAGACGTGCTCGTTTGCCTGTTCAGTAATAACCGTGTATTTCTGAGTCCAAAACCTCTATATGACACATATCGCCATCCCTGTCATTATCTTTGACAAAACAGAGATAACAATATGTTTCAAACGTTGATTTTGGTTTCAGAAAGCCATGATAAATCAGACATGTATAATGTTTTTGTATTTTCAGATACAAACTGTGAGACGTATCACGACAGCGAGGAGGGCGAGGGCAGCGAGTGCAACGTGCGGCGCACGGACTCGTTCCGGCGCGCCATCTCGCGCTATCCCAGCAAGAACTACGACGTGCGGCGCACCGGCTCCTTCCACTCGGCGCGATACGTGCACGAGCTGGGCGAGGCGGGGGGCCGAGCGGGCGGCGGCGCGGGCGGGGGCGGGGGTGACGGGCTGCGCCACAGCGCCAGCTGCAGGATGCACTCCATGCAGAACGTCAGCAGGAAGCGAGACATGGATGCCCTCTGCGATCATCTAGTCATGCATCTACCCCCAGAAACTAATTATAACGTCGCTAAACCGGTAAGCTTACTCAATTCCTTTATACGAGAACCGAAAATAGATTTCGTCATTGAATTAAAATATCTGTTATTGCAGATGAACACATTTTACACGATGCCGAGAAAAATGCGACACAAACTAGCAAAGGAGCTGAGCGACGAAACATCTGAAATAACGCAAACCTCCGACGGATTTTCTCTACCACCGCCGCCGGACGAGTTCGGAACGTATCGAGCCGCCACCAAAATCAAAGACATGCCCATCAAGTCCACGCCAACGTACACGACTATCGTTAGGAAGAGTCCCTCGGGCAAGGAGATAGGGAAGCATCAAACCATATCTCCTAACACTATAGGCCTGCCGACTGTCAGCGGTACTCAAAATAGTCTTTATACGTATCCCGATTACGACAGCCAAGGTAACCCCATTAATACAAACCCTTTTGACGATTCTTCGTAACCATTGCTGATCGATGACACGCGAGAGAGACGATGAGGGATGCATCAATTTAGACAATGGACACACTATGAAAAGGAAATTAGTTTCACTACAAAAAATAAAGGCACACAACAAATAATTATAGTGCATCCCTTAGTAAGTATTAGATCAAGTATACACTTAAAAGAAATCTTAGTATTTTAATAATTTACCAAAGTTTATCTAGTCCTTTAGGACTCTGTTTTAAATGAACCAAACCGGTACGATCTCACAGGCTGCATTTTATTGTTGCACATATTTAGGATAAAATAAATACAGAGATATTGTACTTCAAAAATTTTATTTACAAAAATAGAAACGATTCAGTAATGCCTCTTCAGACTTGTACGACTTTAATTCGTCGCGTTTCCATTTTTATATGCACATGATTTATGGCAATTTTATTTAATTTTTTTTTCAAACATTATTTTTGATGATTCGATGTCCTGACAAAATTCATATTGTTAATTCACTGCCATACCATATTATCTGTAATCCAATAATTCTCGCCAATGTATATATTTGTAAGAAACTTTAATATTCTGAATAAAGTTCATTCATGCAGTTATTTTATAAATTAAATGTCAACTTTCACTATTGTTTCATTTCAATACAAAAATAAAGGATCTTCAAAAAAATCTTATTATAAAAATGGTAGAATTCTGATTGACAAATTACAAAGTGCTATAATTATTTAGGAAATATGCTATTCCATTCGATCCAAGTACGCCTGCGCCACTGTCAGCTTGTCGATGAGATGCTTCGTGTTCGGCCGGGACTGGAACGAAAACAGACATAAATATTATTTTCGCGTCAAAACATTGTTGTTTTTCCTAAGATTTAGACCTGCCGGACACGGCTGTCTTCTATAATGTGTTGGACCAATCTTGGCAATCCATTCGGTAAAATACGTTGTTACGAGTGTTAGGAAGAAAATCCGATACTGCCGGTGTACTGGCGCAACACTAGCCTTACTAAAATATCGACGGCTATGTCCCCTCACTAATCATTCTGACACTTGACTTTGTAACGAAAGCGCGCCATTCTTGCCAAAGGATTTTAGCTAACAATGTCTAAAACGAGTATTGGACTAGTACTAGACTGTTGTATTCATACGGTTTATGATACAGACCTGCAGCGCGGAGAGCGCAGCCTCATGCAGGTCCTTGCAGCGGGCGAGGGCGCGGCGGCGCGGCGCTGCGGGCAGACCGGACACGTCCGCGCGCGCCGCCGCCAGCAGCGCAGCCGCCGCGCCGCACACGTGCGACTCGTCCCCGCAACCCAGCCATACACGCTCGTTCACACTCACCAATCTGTAACAACAAATCTCTCATTTATGTCGAAAACAAGCGGTCTTAAAAGTAGCCTATGAGGCATGCACACATTAGCTCCTTCTAGTAAGAGTATTTCATAGTAAACCAAAATCCGTCCGGCCCTTTACGCAACAGGTTACAAACATACTAGCTAAAAATATAATTTTTCCATCAATCCCCAAAAAAGGGGATTCAAAGATAGTAAAATAACTCACTTAATATAAATATCGAGCACTTGCTCGAGAGATACGCCTATATTCAGAACAGCCTTGAACACCATACTCTTGTCTGCTTGCATTTTGCAACTCATTATTTCTAATTGGCGGACAATAAAATCTGAAAAAAAAAACAATTAGTATATAAAATCAGGTAAAACATTTATTTATTGATCCAAAAAACGAAAAAAAAGCTAAATAAAAATAAATAAATAGTATAAAATGAAAAATAAAACTCACATAGCGGGAAGCAGTGTCCAGTATTGACATACTCTCTGCCCAAAGTTGTGAACTTGCTAAGTACGGAGGCGAGGCGCTCGTCGGGCGTGGGGAGGTTGCGGGCCACAGCCTCCGCCTCCGCCAGGATGTTGCTCCAGATGTTCTCCACCAGCAGCGCGTCGTTGTGTCCCGAACATTGCACTATCGCCAACTTGCACTCCCATAGGTTGTAGCGGTCCGCATACTCTTCGTACAACTGGAAAATACTTTTACTATCTAGAATTGCCTTTTATACAAATAAAAAAAAGTATTACGCTGCCTCGTACGCAATTTCACATAATGTGAAAAGGCCATGTCCTGCGTTAACTAATAAAACATGCTTGGGGTATGATGTCAATAAAATATGAAGTCAATAAAATATGGCGTAAATGACTCGTTGCTTTTTCATATAATTGATATTTCTATTAACACGTATTTGATAGTCGTGGCGGTGTACCTGTGTGACCTCTAGCAGTTCATCGTCCAGCCGTCGCATGAGAAGTGGCGAGATCGCGGGTCCCTTGGCGGCGACGGCGCTGCGCACTGCGGCCTGCACGCGCGCCACCTCGCCCGCCTCCTCCAGCCGGCGCAGCAGCTCCCCGCCGCCGCCCGCGCCGCCCGCACCGCCCGCCCCGCGCACGCACACCACGCCCGCAGACAGCCACGACATGCGCTGGGATAACGTCGCACCCGAACTAAACACAATATACAAGTTTTTTATTATTTAAAATATATATATATATATATATATACTAGGCGAGATTATAATACATTTTTATGCTGTTAGGGGAATAATACGCCCAACGTTGCGATCAAAATTAACCATAGACTTACATTCATGGAATAAAAGTATGGTAATGCAGATGCATTATGCAATTGTGAAGTGGCACATTAAATGAAAAAACAAAAGGAGACTTTAAAATTATACATAACCATCCGGTTTATAAGTAAGGGTTTGTGCCAAAGGCGAAAAAAAAAATCGACGTATTGTGCAATCATTGAATGTCATTAAAAGCAGATTTATTATAACTCACCCAGGTCTAGTAGCGAGTCCCTCCAGCACTTCAGCAGCTGCCAGGTGTTCTCCGGCGCGCTCTAGAACCTTCCACAGCAAGTCTAACAGCTGCAGCGCGGCGCGGGGCGAGGCGGCGCGAGCCGCACGCTGCAGGTACGTGCGCAGCGACGCCGGGGGAGACGCGCCCAGCGATATCAACTCTGGAATTGACAAATTAATTAACTACCGTACTGAGCCATTAATTGGTTTCCCTTACTGTAGATTAAGTAAGATAAACAAATACTAAAGAATTTATTTATTTATTTAATTATTTTGTATAAATTTTGTAAAAAAATTGAATTTATTTATTTTGTATAAAAGGTAAATTATAGTACATTGTACAAGTCAAGTACATACCTGAACCTAAGTTCTTAGAAACCAGCCATTCGTATACTGCTACATGGAGCAGTTCGTCGTCACGTGACAAGCATTCCCAAACTAGTTTTCTTCCCTGGAAAAAAATATCGTAACTAAAATAGGGACATCATACGGAACACTGTGTAGAACAGAATTTTAGGTGTAGCGGGGCGTAAGGAGAAGGGGATAGGAAATATATTTGAAACGGCCCATCCCTCTGACCTGATAATTAGCATCAGCCGGCGAGAGTGTGAGCGTGGCGTCGGCAGCGGAGGTGTTGAGTCTTGTGGGCGACAGCGAGAGGTCGGTGCCGGCCGCCTCCGCGCTGCGCTCGTACAGCCGCTCCAGCGCGCCGCACACCTCGCGGTATATCTCCATCCTGACACAAATACATTGCATACCAAAACACCTACATGATATCATTTCATCCCTTTTATTATTATCTCCTTTTAATTCCGATCAAAAGTCACAATTAAATTAAACATTCATACAAAATGAACGCTAGTCGCGACTAATCGCTTAGTGAAAAATGCAGTTAGTCACAACTTCTTACTAATATTATAAATGCGAATTTTTAGATAGATGGATGGATGTTTGTTTTAAGGTATCCGGAACAGCTGAACGGATCTCACTGAAATTTGGCATAGATGTAAAACGTAGTCTGGAAGAACACATAGGCTACTAATTATGTTTTTTTTATTCCACACGGACGGCGTCGCGAGCGACGGCTAGTATCTCATACATCATCTCATATATCATATCTTCTACAGATATAGATACCTTCTATAGTAAGCTAGGTGTCCCTCTCTATCCTGCGAGGGTTGGTCACTCTTGTAGTAGTGCACCGCCTTGTCCTGAGGGTCCATCTTAGTAGCGCACGCCACGCATAACTCCACCACGCCAGAGTAAAACCCGACCGATAGAAGCTTTGAGCAAATTAACGGCAGGTTCACGTTTGGTGCCACATCCTTTAAAAAATATAAAAGTAAATCAATCAGTCCTAAATAATCCGAAAAATTATACTAGAAATAGGACAAAAAAAAGCTTTATTTACCTTACACAATTTTAAGGCATGTTGCAGCATTTCTTCCCTTTCTGCTGGATTCTTTTGTTGCTTAGCAAATATTAATAATTCATTAGCCTGAAAAAAAAAACGAAAGTTTTACTTACTGTTTCTTTGGTGGCAAGTTTCGATTTTGAAATGGAACAGATTATACCTTCGAGCAAGTGGCATCTTCTTGTCTATAGAGGGTAGGGCAGAATTGACGTAACTTTTGCGAAATTCCATCCACCGAGGCGTTGTCGCGTAGATAACCGGCCACAAGGGATCCTAACAACAAGCACGCTACTTCCTGTCCACCTACTAAAAGCTCCCTAAAACATATGCATATTTTATATTTAGCTATTTTTGTATTTAAGTTTACAATCTTACTAATATTATAAATGCGAATATTTAGATGGATGGATGTTTGTTTGAAGGTATCTCCAGAACGGTCCAAAGAATCATGATGAAATTTGGCATGGATATAGAACATAGCCTGGAAAAACACATAGGGTACTTAGTATTTTTTTAATGCCGCGCAGAACGAGTCGCGGGCGTCAGCTAGTAAAATATATATCATAGAAACCTGAAGCTTGCGGCCTGCAGCGCGCTCTGCTGGTCAGGAGGAAGGCTGGCGGCAATCACGTGGAATTGATGTTCGCACAACACTTTCCATAGACTTAACATTTCAATCGCCATCGCTAGAACATTAGCATAACATTTTATGATTTTATGTTTACTATTATACAATATTATTTGCACTAGATTGATGTGTATAAGATGTTACTTATGAATAGTTTGAGTGCGTGTAGGGAGGCGTGCTCGTCAGTGTGCGGCGGGCCGAGCGGCCGCTGCAGGAACACCGCCACGCGCTGCAGCTTGCGCACAATGTATGCGCAGTCCTCGCCCGTCACACGGCTGCTCATCTGACATACACAAATATAGCCATTATATTAT